AGGTACAATAAAATACGCACGTATAATTGCTTTAATTTCCATCACGTAAGATAGAGATTCAAATCAAACTGCCAATCTTTAAAAAAATCAATATATTTCACTAATAACACAATCACGTCCACAATACGGACAATAAGTTGCTAATACAATTAAGCTACATAATTAGTATACAAATTTACCAATTAAATCCCTCAAAACGAAAATAATTAGTATTAAACTTTTGAAGTTCACAATAATAACTTTGATTATGAAAAAACTTAAGCATAGTAGCGGACACAAAAAAGAATTTAGACAATTTTCATTTTTAATATTCTGTAACTTGACTATAGCAGCGTTGATAACGTGCCAAACTAATAATTTAGTTAGAAAACTTCTTTATAAAAACTTCTTTAGGGTAGCTATGGATTGGCCGCATCGTGTGATAATTACAAAAAGTTGAGGATAATTCTACAGCAGCATTGGCGACGATATTCTCATTCTTTCATTTCCAAAATAATGCCTAGAACGACATCCGTGTCGGAAAGTGAATAACCTAAGCCTTGAACACTGGCAACACCGGAACTAAAGTCAAACTCATAACTTTTTCTAAATGTCTAAAGACGAACGCACTCTGAGGAATTTAACTGACATAATTCAGCATTAACGATTCTAAAATAAGTACAATTTGTTCGCGTTTCAATCAGGAGACCATAGGCCGCACCATCGTTAATAACTATTAGAATATTTGAGAGAATATTTCAGCGCAAAAGTGACCTAACTCACAATTCATATTCGTGTTTATGTATTGCAATTTATTTAATACATACCTAATAAATTTTGATTCAAAATCGGCTTATCCCTAGTTTCACATAGATAACAGATGCCTTTGTGAACTTTATTTTTGCGCGTATTTTTTTGCCGGCGAAGTATTGTAAAAGTAAATTCAAACCTCAATATTTCGATAATAACTATGGTAAGCTTAGGCCACTTTTGCGCTGACCGCCCCATTTATGAGTCTCTTACATAATCGCCATCACGTGAACATAATTATATAGTTCACAAAACATACATGTTTATTTGATAACAAAAAAATCGATAATCAAAGGCAGAGTTATTTTGAGTACACGCTTATGAGAATTTCGTTACTATAATTGTAAATAGCTTTAACAAAAACCGACTTCAAATAGGAAAAAAAAGTCATTCCAAAACAAAATTAATATACACTAAAAACAATATTTATCGAAATCGGTTGGCGTGATATTGAGTTATTCATTTATTTGTCGCGCACGTACTTAATGCAAAATTTAAGACTTATATGCTTTTCTCATGGATACCATTATCAGAACTGGATTAAAATGGGACCAAACGGGAAGCGTCAGCTTTCTAATAAAAAAAGAATCATCAAAATCGATTCACCCAGTGGAAAGTTATTAGGTAAACAGACATTAAAAAAAACATAGTCAAATTGAGAACTTCCTCCTTTTTTTGAAGTCGGTTAAAAATAATCATCAACAGGAATCTAAGTATTATGAAACAAATTCTGTCTGCTTCTGTTCCTTCGCTTACTTCTGTTAAATTAAGCTACAGATTTTGGTACGGTTTTCACTAATATAATAGGAGACATTAATTACCGTTTTTAAGATTTTTGAGTTTTCAGATTGAATGAAGGTGTTATGTGCCTATAAACCATATTAGACCTTAAAGCTCCGGGTTTAAAGGCAAATTTTGGAAATTGCATGCGATAAAGGAGTTACATACGAAGAAAAAGTACAAGTAGGTAACAAAAGTTTTTGCCGGTTTTCTCAAAATTAACAAATTGTGTCATATCCCCTTCATCCACTCATGTCTTCAATATTCGAACAAGGTTTGCGTATATAAATTAAATATATTTTGGTCTGATATTAATTTTAAACATCTTAATTAAGACAGTTATCTATATATATAAAAAAATTAATTGCTGTTCGTTAGTCTCACTAAAACTCGAGAACGGCCGGACCGATTTGGCTAATTTTGGTCTTGAATTATTTGTGGAAGTCCAGAGAAGGTTTAAAAGGTAGATAATTATGAAAATGCCTTGGAATTAAATAAAAATAACAATTTTGTTTTTCCCTTAATGTGTCCTCCAAAAGTTTAGGTCTTTTATTCATTGATTGAGGCACTACGAAGTCTGCCGGGTCAGCTAGTATAAAAATAAAAATAAATCATAGATCCACACGACTACGGCTGGACAAATCTTAAGGGAAAATTTGATCGATACAAGCGGAAAACTATTTAAATAATATTTCTATAAATATCCATTATTGTATTAGATAAAGATCTGTCGACTATCCGAAATGAGTTCAAATGAAATGTGGATATAAAAAAATATTGTTTAACTAAACACAGAAAATAAAAAAATATATAAATCTTGCAAGTTTATAGACAAATTGATTAAATTTTATCAATTTGTCGTTCGTCAAAATATACAAAATCCTTCATTAAAAATAAAATATAGGATAGGTAATATGTTAGTGCCATCTACAGGAGCAATGAGAAACTAATCGAAGCGAAGCCATCTAGTGGCCGACGCCCGTAAACATCTTTGTTGAGTGTTTGAGTTGCTTATCTATAATTAATTTATGTGTATTATCTACGGACGCAAAGATTGCAATGAATACGTGTGAACCCTACCGTAGATGGAACCATAGTACTTTCGACTCTAAGAAGAAACTTTTTGTTCGATAATCGTAACGACAAAGGCACGTTTTTAAGGCCAAAAAAATAGTGAAATGACTATTCAGTGAATCAGTGAGAATTTCCAAAGACTACAAAACTACACTGGACTTTCCGGAATTTTGTCCAATCTCCACAGATTTTATCAGTGAGTACCCATTAGCTAAACTTTTCTTCAAATTGCGAAGAGGTTCCTTGATACAGAATCGGTCAGAACTGATGAGTTAGCAACAGGACGTGACTCCTCATGACGCAGGGGAGGGGGTAAGTGGGGTGAAGTTATCCTTGTCTCGCTCTATCTATACCTTTTCGACGGGCCACACTCAGAAAACACTAAATCAAACTACAAATAATTTATTTATCCAATAATAATTAATATATGTATGTATATATAAAAAATAAACAATTGCCTATTAAACGAATCGAGAATTAAACTAGTTTTTTTTTAAATAAGGAACATTGTATTTTTTTTATTGGTAACTTTAAGTAAAAATGTTTATCACAATTGTGTCTAATCTCACTTTTAAAATTTTACATTCGCATTAAAAGTTAAATAAATGCTTAATTGACATTCACAAAATTGAATTAGCTTTTATGTAAGCGACTTCGTCTATCATTGTCCAATTAATTGGTAATTGTTTTAAGGCTTACAGAAGAGGGGAATTTAGGACCAGTATGGACCTAATAAGTACACAATAAAAGATAATTAACTACTAATTAAGCACTTTAGTTTCTTTTAAGTTAATTTAAGAGTGATTTTTTTGTAATTTTTTTTAACATTAATTTAGATGGTAAAACGGTTCGCCAGATTTTAAGAGGTCACCGACGTTTATATAAACAATACATTTCCACGGTGAGGTCCATGAGACAATATATATAGGTTTCCTTTAGTTTACTCACGGTAGTATAATTTGAACCTGTTTATTATTCATTATGTAAAAGATTATAGTACATAGCTGAGCACATAAGCTACGAATTTTACTGAAACATTTAAAAAAATATTTTCGAAAAACATGACTAAATATACGGAACACATATTCTGTTTAAATATTATTTTTATTTTTGTAAACAGTTTTGTTATGTGTGACGTCATATGTGGCCAAAGTAAACTGCGGTCTAACCTACGTAGAATACACTCTAAAGCATAACGATTGGCCACATGTGACGTCACGAACTGGCATATCTTATTCGGCGATTAAAAATGTAAGTCAGTCAATAATTATGATTAAATTATCCTTTTAATTTATTTAAAAATCTTTATATAATATAATTCGTTTTTATATATTGTTACTTTTATGGGATGGAGTCTTAAAATTATCTACATAATTATTATTATATATTATATGTATGTAATCGACAATAGGTAAGTTTAAATGCACTATGCAATTTTAAAGGCGTGTATTTTTTTAATTTATTTTTTATTGCTTACATTGGTGGACGAGCTCACAGCCCACCTGGTGTTAAGTGGTTACTGGAGCCCATAGACACCCACGAGGTAAATGCGCCACCCACCTTGAGATATGTTCTAAGGTCTCAATATAGTTACAACGGCTGCCCCGCCCTTCAAACCGAAACGCATTACTGCTTCACGGCAGAAATAGGCAGGGTGGAGGTACCCACCCGCGCGGACTCACAAGAGGTCCTACCACCAGTAAAGTATATACATATTTGAATATTTGTGTATATTTGAATTGACTTAACAACATTGATTCTTCATAATATATTCGATAATAAGCACCAATTTTTTTTTAAATGCGTTGAAAGGATTCGAAGAAATAATTCGACTTAAATTAGAGTTTACCAATGGCAATGTTTCAGAATAAAAAATGCGTCTATTTGTTACGACGTAACATGCCAATATTTTTAGAAGAGCTCACGGCTCACCTGATATTAAGTGGTTACCGGAGCTCATAGTCATCTACAACGTAAATGCCGCCACACATCTTGAGATACGAGTTCTAAGATTTACAATTCGTTTTTGAGTTTATACAATACTTATTTGACAAGTGTTTGTCATTGGTCAACAACAATAATTTTTAAAGAAAATTCGTTTGAAGTCACTCAAAAAATAATAAATGTCTCAAATCAATACGTCACGACTTTTTGGTAAAATCCATTGCGCGTATCACCAACGGGGTCAACGCCCTCACACGACCGCGACTTCACTTCGCTCTACACTGCGGGCGCGCGAACATTCTTAAAACGTACTTAAGAGGGTAGTTTTGGTTTTCTTGCCATTTCATAGGGTACATGGCACTAAAATCGACCCTATTCTTCACAAATAGTACACACGACAACCATGATTGTTATTATTTAATAAATTGTGACCTTAATCTCTTGCTTATACGGACGCATTTCCATTAAATTTGACTTTACGGGTGCCTTCGAATGACCAATCCGAAGAACTGGAGTTCGGAGACCAGGTGATGTCCAACAACAAGAGCGCGTTCCGTTAAGCTTGTCTAGTCGATACTACGTTCACCTTAATACTATCGTTTTAAGTTTGCGAGTGTGACGATAGATTGTCATAGTCAATACTGCGAATTGTTCTTAAGTAGATTTTTTCTTTTCCAACCACGTCTTGTAGCTCTGAAACAAAACAAAATAAAATCGACTTCGATAAACGACTCGGTGGTGCAGTGGTTAGCGTTCCTGGCTGTTGCGCCGCGGGTCGTGGGTTCGATTCCAGTATTTTTTTAATATATATATCTATACTAATATATAAATCTACAGTGGTTTTTACGGATGTTCCGTTATAACTACTGAACCATGCATTCGCTTGACTTGAAACTTGGTATCCATGTAGAAAATACATGTACTTAATGGATAGGCTAATATTTATAGGAGTGTTGGACTCTAATAATAATGACAATAAATAATAATGTTAACTTTAAATTCCCAACGAAGCGGGCGAGTACGGCTAGTATAGTATATATGTGTAAAGAAAAACCTTTTTTCTCCTACCTACGCCGAAAGTTCGGTTTCCCTCCCGCTGTACCGGGAAGAAAGTCTAACTTTTCCTCCCTGGGTACTGACAAGTGCGCATGCGTGTTAGTGTCTACGTCTGCTCTCACGCACCTAAAATTCTCCGCCATTGTTGTGCTCGGGTAATGTGCAATATTGTGTTTAGTGTAAAAGTGAAATAAACAAAAGGCAATAAAATTTTATAGTGAAGTATTAAACAAAGATGCGTTCATCAGACAGTTCTTATTCAATTAGTAGTAATTTATTTAAAAATTAAATAACAGTTAAATTGTTTTTTTTATGAGTATGGGGGGGCTCCGCCCCCCTACCCCCGACAGGGCTTCGCCCCTGGACCCCGGTTCGGTACTCCACGAACTTTCGGCCTGGTAGGAGAAAAAATAGTATGTGCACTGCGGGAGAAAAGTTGGACATTTCCTGCCACGTGTTTGCCATTTTACACTCGGAAGGAAATGTCCAACTTTTCTCCCGCAGTGCACAATGTACTATTTTATGTAATTTTTATATAAAACTTTTTAGTTAAAAAAAAAGGGTTTTTCTTATATGGATTGACTGAACTCTTTGTCATAAAAAAAAAGTGGAAAATATTGGCTTCTAGACACAGATCTATATAAAAATAGGCAAAAGGTAACAGTTTAAATGCCACTGTCTGGTGAATTTTTTTTTATTGTCCTTGTAGGCAGACGAGCACTCGGCCCACCTGATAGTGAGTGGTTACCGTCACCCATGGACTTCACCAATGTCAGGGGCAGAGCCGAGCCGCTGCCGCAACTTTGTCTAACGATCATCTTCTCTTTATAAGCTTTTTAGTGTTATCAGAAAGCTAATTGCGGTATTTGTCAGATTTTATTGACCCAGTAATACGTCAATTATTAAGAAAAAACACAATACGTTAGATTTTAAATCTTATGGCGTTAGTGGTTAGGTTCGAATTTCGATTGTTCGACACTAGGGTCTGTAGAAACCGGTCAACATCGACCAGGTTGTCGGAAGGCGCCAATACGTACCTCTGCTGCGGCTCTCCTCAGCATGGCTGCCGTTTCCTTCCCCGTCTGCTCGACCAGGGTCTTGAAAACTCCCGTCGCCTCCAGCTCGGAGTCAGCGGACCTGCGGGGTAAATTTTGAAGGTGGTAAATATTACTTTCTGACCTGATTTGAAAGTCGATGAAACGAGAAAAAAGCGACACTGAAAAGAGATAGCTGTATACATCCATAGGACCAGCGGTGCTCAAAGTTTTATCGACTATGACACTTTTCAGCAGATATAACTTTTTTTAAGGGATTTTGTGAACTGGTAACTAAGACCTTTAGGTCAATTCTTATTTTAATTTATATTATTATTTTTATGAAAAATGATAATATGGAGTGAAATGAAATGAAATGGGATGAAATATAATCTCAATAAAATGGTGATAATTTACTGAGTTTTTTTCAGTGTACTTTTTGGACGATCCCGAGAAGCTACGTCCGGCGGCTTTGTTCCATTTTCCCACATTTGTGCACTTTCACAGATATTAAACAATTAATAAACCACCATTATTGCACATTTAAACCTGAAGAAACACTAAATAGACAAAATAAAACAAATCACACAACTTCACTCCTAGCGTTTCCGCCAAAAAGTCCCAGTAGATATAAAATTATCGGCGACCCCCCAGATAGGGAGAACAGTAGGATAATACGAGCTGCTAAATCTATCGCAGAATAAAAAAATTGGCGACTCCTAATAAGCCTCCTGGCGGCCACCACAAGGATCGCGACCTCTGATTTGAGGACTACTGCACTATATAGATTACTCTTGAACGTCTAGTTTGTGCGTGCGGAGTACAAACGTTTTTTTTTATTATTAGATAGATAATATTTTTTTAGGTAACTCACTTCTCAGAGTAGGTCCTGGATCTGTGCACCGCGCCCTCGCATTCCTCCGGCACGGCAAGTGGCGCCTAAGGACAGGGTTGGAATAGTTTAGTAGAAATAATTTATCTGTATCATAAGACATCTATATTTTATTTATACCAAAATGCGTTGTGAAAAAATCAAACCCGCAAAATTCTAATTTGCGTAATACTGGTGGTAGGACGTGTTGTGAGTCCGCGCGGGTAGGTACCACCGCCCTGCCTATTTCTGCCGTGAAGCAGTAATGCGTTTTGGTTTTAAGGGTGGGTGGCGCATTTATATTGTAGATGTTTATGTGCTCCAGTAATCCCTTAACACCAGGTGGGCTGTGAGTTCATCCACCCATCTAAGCAATAAAAAACAGATGATGTGCATGCAACTTGCACGTGCACGTGGAAGAAGTGAAACTTCTTTTGCGGTGTGTAGTATTGTGGTTTTCTTCATTTTGCAACCTTAATCAAGTTTCTCAAGTTAATAGTGAATGCTGTGTATAATAGAAACGACCTAGCTCGTTTTGTCCTTTCCCTCTCTCCACGGTCGAGTGGTTCGCGAGACGCTCTGTCTATTTTCTCACTCTCGCTCTTCCTAAATTGTATCTTTTCTCTCTAGCCGTAACGAATCTGTCGCGAGTTCAATTTTAGTCTCAAGGCGCCTAAAGAAGTTTCACTTCATAGATGATAAACACTCAACGAGCGACCGAGCTTGACCGTCACGTAATGTGATGGGAGTTACTACAGCTCGGAGTACACCAGCAGGGCGAGTACCTGGTTCTTGGACAGCAGCGTCCTCCGGGTCTGGTCCGGGCCGCTCTGCGTCAGGAGCTCGTGGGGGTGACCAGATTCCACTATGCGCCCCCTGGTGGAGAACATCATGGGTTTTAGTTGAGACAATTAGCTCGTCTATGAGGTCCACCTCACAGATGCGATGGTACCTAACGATGCGATGGTAGGCAACGAACCATAAACAACTAAGCAATTTAAAAATTATAAGTATAAGAGTAGTCCCCCAGTAGTCGAAATTCGACTATAATTAATTGAAATTATAAGATTGAACATTATTATGGTTCTATTGTCAAAGAATATTATTATACTTCTATAATCACAGATTTCGCCAGGACTACACTATAGACAAATAATATTAAAGACAAACAATATTAATCTATTCTCTATTTGACTTTAACAATTAACAAAAGAAAATATATGCGTGTATGTCAAATACAAGGTAGTGTGTGTAATGTTTTTCTTATTGATTTAATGTATTTTAATGCATTAATTAAAAAAAAAATAACATTCTGCACTCTCTCTCTCTCTCTATATTCTCTATAAGTGTGGGAAATTTCATACTCCTCCGTCCGCGCAATTTTCATAAAAAAAGTTTTTGCTTTACGTATTAATATAATATATGTAAAGAAAACATTTAGTGTTGGGGTCCAAGGGGAAGTTTTGTTGAGTTCCAAAGAGTTATTATGTTGTTTGAGCACCTTTATTATATTGGTTGAACACAGATGGTAACGTCATAAAGAGTGCGTGTTGCTAAGTGCACTGCTCTAAGAATATAATAAAATAACCTGACACCACAATGACGACGCACGGCGTGTCCACGTATTGGTTAGGTATGTGCAAACCGTACATTTAGTATTTAAAATCTTTAAAACTGTTTAGTTTAAGGAAAATGATTTTTCTTGATCGTAATCACCCGGCTTTTTTAAATATTAATTTAATAAATAATATTTCAAAAAAAACAAAAACAAAATACGCTTTTATAGAAAATCCTTACTTACACTATTTTAAATTAAATTTTATTAATATTTATTTTCTATTTTTTAGTTGGATTTTCTATAAAGTCGTGTTTTGTTCGTTTTTTTAAACTATTATTTATTTTTCAATTATTAGTTGAATTTCAATTTTTTCAATATATTTTTGTCATCGGTCCTTAATAAGTATGCCAAATTTCGAGTTAATCCGACGTTTTGAAGGGGGTCAAAATCATGTTCAAAGATTCCGTTACATACTAACATACAAACGTATGAAGCTAATAAAGGCTTATTAAAAAGAGATGAAATGGCTTTAAAATGTTGTTTTATAATGATAAGGCTAGAGCCCCGTGAGGTCACTCCCTCGTTCGGTGAATCTAGCATGACCCCTCATAGAATACAAGAGTTTGATAGTATGCTTACTTATCCATGACAATGACCCTGTCGTAGTCCATGACCGTGTTTAGTCTGTGAGCGATCGTGAGCACGGTCGCGTTCGAGAACTTCGTCCTTATCGTGCGCTGGATCTGCTTGTCCGTTCTGTGGGGAAACAAATGAATATGAAACGCTTTCGTTGTGACTACACGCAGATAAGACGGTGAGTGGTGACCGTCGCCCGTGGACAGCAGCTTTTTTTTTTCTTAGCTCTGCTGATAGCCTTGAGAGGCTATATCAGCTTCGTCCTAACGTGTAGGTGAGCTCACGGGGCTCAAACCGGAGTGTTGCTAAAACTGACCCTAGCAAGGGCAGTGCTTCGCAGAATTTACAACCGGATCGGGAACGCGACCCCCTGAGAAGATCCGGCGAGAAACTTAAGAGGGCTGTGTCTATGGGTTAATTCGCTCGTCGAGCCCTTCACCGCAAGCGACGGGTTCGACGAGGACGGTGACCGGTGCTTCTAGTACTTAAAAGCACCGTTAATGGATCGAGAGGATCCGTAATGACATGTTAGGGCGAAGTCGACTGCTTTCCATTCAGTATACAGTATGAGACTTCAGCAATGCCAGGACAAGGCGTTGTTTACGCGCGTTTGTCTCTGTCGTTCCTTGTCGATGCCCCCCGCCCTCCTGAGGTGCTCACTCGGTGTCCACGTTGGCGGTGGCCTCGTCCAGCAGCAGCACGCTGGAGCCGGCCAGCGCGGCGCGCGCTAAGCACAGCAACTGTCTCTGACCAGACGACAGGGAGCCTCCGCCGTCTCCCAGCTTCGTGTTCAGGCCTGCGGGTAGACTGGAGACCAGATCCAGTAATTCCACCTACGAAGGATGTGTAGTTGTATTTTTATAGAATTTACAAATAAGTGTTTAAATTTTGTATTTATGCATCGGTTCTGGAGGCGTGGGGTGTCGCCCTGTGTTCATGGGTGAATAGGGTCCTATCTTGTGTGTTTGAGGTTGATCATGTTTCACCATGTGTTCATGAGTGGGTCGTGTCCTGCCGTGTATGCTTGGGGTCAGTCGTGTCCTGCCTTGCGTGCTTGGGGTCAATCATGTCCTGTCTTGTGTGCATGGAGTCAGCCGTGTCCTGTCTTGTGTGCCTGGGTGGGTGGGGTCCTGCCTTGTGTGCTTATGTGTGTTTTGTCCCCCTGTACCTGTTCGAGCGCGGCGTATATCTGCGCGTCGGTGGCGGAGTGCGTGGGGTCGAGGTTGTCCCGGAGCGAGGCGGCGAAGAGCGCGGGGCGCTGCGGCAGGGCGCAGAGCCGCGAGCGCCAGCAGCGCAGCCCCACCTGCTCGGCCGTCACGCGGTCCACCGACACCGTGCCCGCGATGCGACTCAACCTGGGGGAGGAGGGGGTACGTCACACGGGCACTGCTTGTGGAGGAGATTGAACCCGAAGTCGTCGTGGCCTAAAGGATAAGACGTCCGGTGCATTCGTATCGAGTGATGCACCGGTGTTCGAATCCCGCAGGCGGATACCAATTTTTCTAATGAAATTCGTATAGTCCGCGCGCGAGCTTCGAGGACTTTTAAGTTATGTTGACGTAATGAGCTAGTGTTCTAATTAGTCGATATTGCGCTATCGATACTAACACATCTTAAGCCTCTGTACGAGTGTAAATTATAAAATAGTTTTATGAGGGTATTATGTACTTGAAATAAAATAAAATAAAAACAATTGATCACGTATGAATTTAATTTAATGAACTGATACTTATTGAACAAAATGAACGTGAAATCTCTAACGTAATTACTCTCGCAATCAGATTGATTAGTAGTTGAAGAATTTGATGTAATATTGTCACTCTCCTCACGTACTTCAATAATAAATGATTCGACAACATCCTCCATTAAGCCATCCTTTTACCAGTAATGTCCCTCTAATGCTATGACATGTTTATTATGCTAGTGCTCGCCATTCCTTTTTCATCAAATTAAATAGCTATTTGTGCAAACAAAAAGACTTATGAGTGTAAGACTATTTATATTAGAAATCACACGTAATTAACACTGCTATCGCAAAATTAAAAACAACGAGTCGGTAAGCGAACTCTCACGTTAAGGTCGACACTAGTACTGGGAGAGTGCGGGGTATGAAGCGACGGTCGGGCGCGGTGCACGCCCGCCCGCTTCCTCAGCCCCCGAATCCTCGGAGCTCGCGCGCGGACTGTATTTAGAAAATCTTCACGATTGACTCCCAAGGTGAAGGAATAACACTGTATAATAAGAATGAAACTCGAAAAATTTTAATTTGCGTAATTACTGGTGGTAGGATCTCTTGTGAGTTCGCACGGGTAGGTACCACCGTCCTGCCTATTTCTGCCGTGAAGCAGTAATGCGTTTCGGTTCCAGTTCGAGGGGCGGGAAAGTCGCTTAAGCATGATTGAGACACCGAAAGCTATCTAGGCTTATTTGACTGCGGAACCCGAAAAACCTTACCTAAATAGAGCGTTGAGCAGCGAACTCTTTCCTGCCCCTGTCCTGCCTACCACGGCCACCTTCTCCGCCGGCTGGACCTTGAAACTGACTCCCTTGATCGCGTAGACCGGGGCCTCGGGTCTCGGAGCCTCGTTCTTCCCTTTGGGCGGTTTCTCGTACTCCAAATATACATTCTCGAAGGAAATTTCGCCTGTGGGAAGATTTAATCGTTTTTATGACCTGGATTTTGGTCTGGATCCTAGGTATTAGGCCGTATGTTAGTCTGCCAGTAAAAGAACTGTTCTCGATTTTGACACACCCTGTATATACTGAAACAGCAACAATCTTGTGAGACTCGTGTGTGAGGACATTAGACAGCAACGTTCTCGGAGTACCACAGCGGAATGATGATGGTACCGGGTAGTGGTATGTCCGAAAAGATACCACAATATCGCGTAACAGTTCCAAGAGTTGGAACAGCAGTTTCCTTATACATTTGAGACGTCTTCAACTTCAAGGTCTAAAGTTAATCAATAAGAGTGAAGAGAATTTTCAGACCGAAGTCAGTGGGTTATCTTGAAGTATATTTTTTATTGCTTAGATGGTTGGACTGGTCACCGAATCACATAGACCTCAACAACGTTAACGTCATCACCCACTTTCGAGACACCATTTCTAAGGTCTCAATATAGTTACAACGGCTGTCCCACCCTTCAAACCGAAACGCATTACTGCTTCTTGCATTGCTATTTTTATAGGCAGACGAGCATATAACCCGTCTGGTGGTGAGAGGTTACCGTCGCCCATGAACGTCAGCAATGCTAGGGGCAGAGCCAAACCACTGCTTACCAGACCCGTGTGGACTCACAAGTCCTCCTACCACCAGATATGATGATATCTTCATTGTACCAGTATCATCTGTCATTATCTTGTAACAGTGGTACCGGTTGGAGACATTACCTTTAGTTGGCCACTTGCTGAGGTCCAGACCCGGGTGGTTCTTTCTGATGGCGGCCTCGTCCGTCTCCAGGGGGTGTTCCGGGGGCAGATTCGTGTACTCCAATATCCTTTCCACCTGTTTCGATTAATGTTAAATTAGTGAGCGAAACTCATATTCGCGTGTTGAATTTAGCTTTTTTGTCTTATTTGAGGTTCGAACACGGCTCGGGCGATCTTGAGACAAATAGCGGCGTGAGTAGAAGTTTGCAGTTGTATTGAGTGATGGCCCTCCTACCGTTCTCACAACAAGACGCGACCGAAATAGGCAGAATCCAGATAGGCATATCTAGTAACTTAGATTTCGGTTTGCAGTTCCAAAGTCTCAAAGAATAAAACCCCAAATTTGTACGTTCAAAAGCCGGTTCGCTTTGTACACACCAGGGCTTTGATACGACTTGTCAATAATTGTTTTTAACTGTTGGACGAACGATCTTCAGATCTATTTTTGGCAAGTGATTACCAGGGTCCGTAGACCTCAACAACATAAAGGCCGCCACCCATCTTGAGACGTGAGTTCTAAGGTCCCAATTTCCACAGTACAACAACTGCATTACCCTACAAACTGAAACGCATTACTGCTTCGCTGCAGAAATAGGACGGGCCTTTTTTTAACAGGCAAGGGGCCGAACTTCCTACGAGTTGTCCACGTCTAAGGGGCACGTAGGGTAGGCAGGGCAGGGTCTACCACTAGTTCTTCACCGTCACTATTTCGGGATCAACTTACGGACGTCATCTGGTTCTCGACCTCGGCAGTCTGCCTCATTCCGTACTGGCACATCCCCACCAGTCCTATGACCTGCGTTATGGCCAAACCGACGCTCCCCCCTATAGTATCTGTGAAATAGGGCACCACCTCAGTCGCGATATCATCATCGACCTCAAAAATCTATTAATAAATGAAACAAAAAAAGGTACGCGTACAAATGAATGTACGTGAAAGAAGTGAAACTTCTTTTGTGGTATGTACTATTGTAGTTTTAATTTTTCAACTTTAAATCGAACTTCTCTTGTAATAGTGAATGCTGTGTATAAGAGAACCGACCTAGCTCGCTTTTATCCTTTCCCTCTCTCCACGGTCGAGTGGTTCGCGAGACGCTCTGTCTATGTTCTCACTCTCGCATTTCCTAAATTGTATCATTTCTCTCTGGCCGTAATGAATCTGTCGCGAGTTCAATTTTACTCTCAACGCGCCCAAAGAGGTTTCACTTCAAACATTATAAATATGTAATGCAGTGGCCTGTTTGCACTTCTGACATTTCCAAGTTGGTCTTAAACGACGGAGACCATCTAAGACGGCAACATTTTATTTTATCAGCTATCGTCGAATGGGAAGTTGAAGTTACACAAAAATATATTTAGTTTCTCTTTCTTTTTTTCCTACCTAAGTTGACGGTCTTGGGAGGCCATTTCAGCGTAACCCTAACAAGTAGGTGAGAGATTTCTTAAAGAAATAAGTAGTGCCTTTGTACATAATTTTCCTATTACTCTGTACTATGTCTTCTTTTCTGTGTGTACATAAATAAATCAATAAATAAATAGGTGAGCTCACTCAGCTCTAACCTGACAACGTTGCTAACGCTGACCCTAGTAAGAGCAGTGCCAAGTCTACTACCAGACCAGAACCGCTCCATAGTAATTTTGTACCATGGGTAGGTATTTCAAATTTACCTTTGGGCATTAACCTTGTGTCCGTTTTTACACGCTTTATATTAGCTTCACTTGTATGTATGTTTGTAAATGACTCCTTTAGACGCGATTTTGACCCACTTTAAACGGCCAGATTTCATTCAGACTTTGTAGTTTTATCGAGGACTGATGACAATTCAACATTAAAAAACCAAAATGGAAAAAATTGAAATTCAACTAAAAAATAAAAAATAAGTAATATTTTAAAAAACTAAAAAAACACGCGTTATATAAAATTCAACTAAAAAATAGAAAATAAATTTTACTATTTTACAACTAAAATATGTGGGGTGCATGGCATTATTAGTTATAAATATCTTTCTGACAGATTAGTAGAAAAATTATTATTTCAATAATATCTTAAAAAAAGCACCTCACGCTTTTTTTAACAAAAAAATTTTTTTTTTTACACTGCTTTCAATTTAAATTTATTAAAATTTATTTTCTATTTTTTAGTTGATTTTTATATAAGCTTGTTTTTTTTTGTTTTTTTAAACTATTATTTATTTGTTGCTGTTGTTGTGAGCTGTTATCATGATAAAAAGACACTTATAGTTAGTTTAGATTCTTACCGCCACTCGCGAAGACAAAGAAACTGAACGTGACCAAAGCCAGGTACATGCAGCAGACCATGTCCATCCAGAGACCGAACGCTCTGAAACCAGAGCATCCAAGATATAGGGGTGTGCTTCGTCGGGGCTTAGGGCGAGTTAGTTAGTATCGAGTGAGGAGACTGGGTCGGGGTTCGAATCCCGCAGGCGGCCCACCAATTGGATCACCAATTGGATCACCAATTGGATCAAAAATCATTGAAATTGGATCACCAATTTTGATGTGAAATATTTATAGTTCCGCACGTAAATGCGTAAAAATCAAACCAGCAAAATTTTATTTTGCGTAATTACTGGCGGTAGGACGTCTTGTGGGTCCGCACAGGTAGGTACCACCATCCTGCCTATTTCTGACGTGAAGCAGTAATGCGTTTCGGTTTCAAGGATGGGGCAGCCGTTGTTTTTTTTTGTTTTGTTTGTATGCGTGGACGAGCTCACAGCCCACCCGGTGCTAAGCGGTCACTGGAGCCCATAGACATCCACAACGTAGACGCGCCACCCACCCTGAGATACAAGTTCTAAAGTCTCAGCATAGTTACAACGGCTACTCCACCCTTCAAACCGAAACGCATTACTGCTTCACGGCAGAAATAGGCAGGGCGGTGGCACCTATCCGCGCGGACTCACAAGTGGTCCTACCACCAGTAAGTACTGAGACCGTTTAGAACTTATGTCTCAAGGAGGGTGGCGCATTTACGCCGTAGATGTTTATGGGCTCCAGTAATCACTTAATATCAGATGAGCTGTGAGCTCGTACAACCATCTAAGCAATAAAAAAATAAAAATGTGGATTTTCAATGCAAAAGTTCAAAATGGGTCATTTGACCAGTTATGGTGTGTTTCGTGTTAATTATACAAATGAGACTTCGACTTCAGTTCTGAAAGCGGGTGTTATTTAGTCAGTGACGTACCGGTTGGTGGAGAGCACCAGGGACCAGGCGGCGCTGTGCAGGTCCTGGAGCTTGTCGAACTCGGCGACCAGGGCGCGCTGGTGCTGCCGCGTGGAGCGGATGGTGGGCAGCCCGTGCACCGTCGACGACACGTGGTTGAGGGACTGGCTGCGGGCTGTCGGCACCACGGTCAGTGATTCGTCCAACCTCACCCATATCTATGTGTCTATGTGACCTACTCGCTGGTAGCCTAAGGGGCTATTCCAGTTACGTGCAGTACCTTCTTTTTTTTTATTGCCCGAGCAGGCAGACGAGCTTACGGCCCACCTGATGGTAAGTGGTTACCGTCGCTCATGGACGTCAGCAATGCCGGGGGCAGAGCCAAGCCGCTGCCTACCGCTTAATAGTCTGCACAAGCCTCGTTTGAAGAAGGACATGTCATAGCGCTCGGGAAACACCGTGGAGGGGAGCCCATTCCAAAGCCGGATGGTACGTAGCAAAAATGTTCTCTGGAAACCCACTGTGGATGAAAGCAGTGGCTCCAGGTAGTATGGATGGACTCTACTCCGGTGGTGGGTGGTGCGATGGTAAAAATGAGATGATGGTGTCATCTCAAATAGTTCCTCAGAGCACTCCCCGTGGAACATACGGTACAAAACGCAGAGGGAACCGAAGTCTCTCCGCAGACCCAGAGGTTCTAAACGATCCGTGAGAATGGGATTATTGACAATCCGAAAGGGTCTCTTCTGTATGGAGTCAAATGGAAGTACCTGAGCTGAGACTGGCCCCAGCAAGAGCAGTGCTTCGCACAATCTACCACCGGATCAGAAACGCGACCCACTGAGAATATCCGGCGAGAGGCTCAAAGAGTTATAATATGTCTATGGGGTATTCTTCCAGCATTAAAAACCTAAATATTAAATACCTAATAATTAAATATTAAAACACAAAATAATTTTTTTCTTTTTTTTCCTTTGTTCACTTTCAACTTATATGTGATTTTGATGGTGGAATTAAAAAAATATATATGTATATATTATTACATTGCTCATATTTGTATGTATAAATATTGATATGTACACTGCGTGTGATTCGTTTCCAAATGATTCTTGTCTACCTGATGGTTGTCTGGAAGAGATCGCTCTTAGCGATAAGATCGCGAATTGTATTTTTTTTTGTATTGTTTTGCATTGTTATTTTTTTATGTAAAATAATTTATTTCTCTCTCTCTCTCTCTCTCCCTCCCCCCATACGTCTCTCTCTCCCCCCCTCTCCCTCTCTCTAAAAATATTTTCGTTTACCAATAGCCTCGATTCTCTTGAGGTCCCTGCTGGTGGCGAGGAACATGGCCCGGAGTAGGAACAGCAGCGCCGCCACCACCGCGGTGGGCAGTATCAGCCACCAGTTGACCAAGCAGACCACGACCAGGATGGCCAGCACTTCCAGGAAGAACTGAGCGCGGACGGTAGGCGAACGTTAACGATAATTGTGATATTAGAAACTCATTAATACGCTTTTATTAGCTTCAGACGTATGTATGTATGTTTGTAATGGAATCTTTGAACATGATTTTGACCCCCTTCAAAACGTCGTATTAACTCGAAATTTAGTATACTTATTAAGGAGCGATAACAATTCAATATTAAACAAAAAAATATTGAAAAAACTTAAATTCACCTAAGAAATGAAAAATAAGTAATAGTTTAAAAAAACTAAAAAAAAACGCTTTTATATAAAATTCAACTAATAAATAGAAAATAAATTTTAATAAATTTGAATTAAAAATAATGTAAAAAAAACATGATTTTATTGTAAAAAAAGCGTGGGGCACTAAGCTTTGCCACTAATAATTAAGACACGTCACTAAAAACTAAACTGTCGTACTAACCACTAAATTCTGACACTAATCACTAAACATTAGAACTAACAACTAATCACTGGCACCTGGCACACGCAACTTAAACGTGTCAGTAAAAACTAAGCCGTCGCACTAACAACTAAACTCTGCCACTAAAGACCGAACCCACTCACCCCTAGACAGTCGACCAGAGCGAGCGGCAGCAACGTGTCCACTTGTCCCATGTCCTTCGAGAACCTGTTCAGGATCGTGCCCGAAGGGTTGTGGTGGAAGAACCACATCGGCGCGTACGTCACTCCCCTGCAATATGATAGGATTAAGTAACCATTGTGTGATTTGGATTAGCTACAGAGCCGATGAGATAACACTATGCCGTCACCAGCCTTGGGACATGAGATCGATGTCTCAATAACATTGCATCGCGTGACGGTCGTCTCGACCACCAAGCCGGATCCCTTCATCATGGCAGTCATCGAGATCAGTCATTGAGTTTGTTACCTCCATGGGGGATCTTACACGTTAGGCCGGGACGATCTCAAAGTTTCAAGCACCGAAAAGGAGTTTATTGGTGGTAGGACCTCTTGTGCGTCCGCGCTGGTGGGTACCACCACCCTGCCTATTTCTGCCGTGAAGCAGTAATGCGTTTCGGTTTGAAGGATGGGGCAGCCGTTGTAACTATACTTGAGACCTTAGAACTTGTATATCTCAAGGTGGGTGGCGCATTTACGTTGTGGATGTCTATGGGCTCCAGTAACCACTTAACACCAGGTGGGCTGTGAGCTCGTCCACCCATCTATGCAATAAAAATAAAAAAAAGATATAAGTTCTTAGGTCTCAAGTATAGTTACAACGGCTGCCCCACCCTTCAAACCGAAACGCATTACTGCTCCAGAGCAGAAATAGGCAGGGTAGTGGTACCTACCCACGCGGACTCACAAGAGGTCCTACCATCATTGAAAATCTCAAAGCCAATCTCAAAGTGGCATTACAGTGTATATGTCTACGGGCTCCCTACCCCCTCCCCCTTTTATTTTTTTAATTTTTCTTGCCTTTGTAGGCAAACGAGCATACGGCCCACCTGATGGTAAGTAGTTACGGTCGCTCATGGACGTCAGCAATGCCAGGGGCAGAGCCAAGCCGCTGCCTACCATATGCCTACCTACGATACCCCCTGGGTCAAACCTACTTGAACATGTTGTCGTGTAGGCTGATGGAAGCCCTGATGCACGTGTTGTAGAAGACGACGAGCTTGTTCCACGTGAAGAAGACGCAGACAGCGATGAGGCCTCCGTATATGTACAGACACTGTTCGCGCGTCAGATGGAAATAATTGCTCGGCATGTTCTTGAAGAGCGTCTCTGCGAATTGAAATAATCGGTAACGCCGGCTCCACACGTTGGCCCCAACATAGGTCCCAACGCCGCTCGTCCAACGTGTGGATCTAGAAAATAGCATTGGCCCCAACGTTGGAGCGATCGTTGGTAGTTGGTCATCGAGTGTCGGTTTTATTAAAAGTATCTGTGCCAACGATCGTGATCCGTCCACATGTTGGCTCTTTGCTCAGTCCTGTTGCAACAAGCGTCGAGTGTGCATGTCGCGATGTCATCCACCATCTTCTTTGACGTGGCTTTTTCTTTTTTTTTCAATAACCAATATAACTTATACGCACTCGGTACTGTAAAAGCGTTTAGTGCAATTTCAATTTCGGTATCGCAAATCTTCACGTTGGCTCGACGGAAAGGAACTAGTACAACAGCCAACGTGTGAACACTTCACTAATTTAACTAATCAACGTTGATAGCAACGTTGGGGCCAACGTGTGGAGACGGTGTTAAGCCAACAACGATCCTCGGTTTGCAGCTTGATTGTGCTTCTAGTATTGATGTCCATGGACAAAGGTTACTCATCTATTAATCTAACAGCCCGGAGGACCATTACGACGTTTAGGTCCATCCACCTCGTAGGAGGGGCCAACTGTCGCCACGTCCCTCGCCGCTGTCATGCCACTGGGGCACCATTAGACCTTAGCGACCACCTTTTTCTTCCCTACCTATCCAGTTACGCGCGGGCGGGTAGGTGAGCTCACGGGCTCAACCTGAGAGAATTGCTAACACTAGCTCTAGCAGAAGCAGTGCTGCGCAGAATCTATCACCGAATCGGAATCGCGACCTACTGCGAAGATCCGGCGAGAAACTTAGTGGGCTGTGTCTGTGGGTTATTCGCTTGTGTTTTAATGTCTATGAACTCCGGTAACCACTTAAAAACGAGTGGGCCGTGAGTACAATCAAGCATTTTAAAAAGAAATAAAAATATATATTAGAGAGAGAAAGAACGACACGAGATGGGTCGCGAACAGTATGCCAAGATTCAATTTTTTTTATTAAAATCATAAATATGTTTCGAGGCAACGTTCGAGGTATATTTAGTGTTTAGTTCGCGCGTCGAACTCATGAAGAGCCTAAAAGCACAGGGAGTGAATCCAGGGGATCCCACGTTTCGGGCGACGGCGTTGCCTTGCCCCGTCACGGTCAGATAAAGAAGCGACCACCTGTTCCACCCGAAATATAAGTAGCGCCACTCCAACCTCAACAAGATGAACTTTACCAAATGTCTATAAGTCATTAAATGTAACAACTTAGTCATCGATGTATCTCTTCTTAAAGTACTAGTTAAATTAGCTGCAGCTTTTAAGCTCTCTCAAAGCTAGCCTTTAGAGACTGCCCAAACTATTTAACTATCTTTAAATTAGATCTATTGCCGGTGTCTTTGACTATGGCAGGGCTGGTCCACGGCGCGCCCCACCAAGGTTCACTTACCAGGAGACAAGGTATCGTTGTTCTTGGTGACGTTTATGACGCTGTTCTTCTCTTCCAGATTGACCCTGGGATAAACAGAAGTAAATGCTTACACAATTATATCTCATATATGAAATTTTTTGGTCAACATCGTTTTTTTTTCCTGACTTAGTTTGTCTTTTTCGTAAAGACATATGAGCGCACTGACACTGATTTGTGCCATCGCTCCTGGACATCATCAATACCAGAGGTCAGCCATTGTCCATCTTTGAGAAACCCTTCATCTTTATGAAGAGTTCATTTCAAAGCCTTGGTAGAGGGACCTTGATTGCTGAATCAAGGTCCCTCTAGCAATTCGCTGGAATTGCTCTTGCTCACTGTTCTTACTAGGGCTAGTGTTAGTAGCATCTCCAAGTTAGAGCCCCGTGAGCTCACCTACTCTTCCGGTGAATCTAGTATGACCCCTCAAGGTTACTAGAATAGGTAAGAGAAAAGAGGAATGATGAGCTATGAGGCGCGGGGAAGGACTTTGCTCTGACAGCAGGCGGCGCATTAACAGCACGGGGAAGATGCCAAATTAAGACCTTTACATTTCCAAGGATACCAATGTTCTTAGTGCGAGTTTTTTAACGTTCTCGATAGCGTAAAAGTTAACTCAAATTTGTATGCAATTGGAACAGCGCCCCTAGCGGCAAACGTAGGCAAACGTTCCAACTACATACAAATTTGAGTTAACCTGAGTACGTTTTTTAACGTTCTCGATAGCGTAAAAGTTAACTCAAATTTGTATGCAATTGGAACAGCGCCCCTAGCGGCAAATGTAGGCAAACGTTCCAACTACATACAAATTTGAGTTAACCTGAGTAAGTTTTTTAACGTTCTCGATAGCGTAAAAGTTAACTCAAATTTGTATGCAATTGGAACAGCGCCCCTAGCGGCAAATGTAGGCAAACGTTCCAACTACATACAAATTTGAGTTAACCTGAGTAAGTTTTTTAACGTTCTCGATAGCGTAAAAGTTAACTCAAATTTGTATGCAATTGGAACAGCGCCCCTAGCGGCAAACGTAGGCAAACGTTCCAACTACATACAAATTTGAGTTAACCTGAGTACGTTTTTTAACGTTCTCGATAGCGTAAAAGTTAACTCAAATTTGTATGCAATTGGAACAGCGCCCCTAGCGGCAAACGTAGGCAAACGTTCCAACTACATACAAATTTGAGTTAACCTGAGTAAGTTTTTTAACGTTCTCGATAGCGTAAAAGTTAACTCAAATTTGTATGCAATTGGAACAGCGCCCCTAGCGGCAAACGTAGGCAAACGTTCCAACTACATACAAATTTGAGTTAACCTGAGTAAGTTTTTTAACGTTCTCGATAGCGTAAAAGTTAACTCAAATTTGTATGCAATTGGAACAGCGCCCCTAGCGGCAAACGTAGGCAAACGTTCCAACTACATACAAATTTGAGTTAACCTGAGTAAGTTTTTTAACGTTCTGGATTGCGTAAAAGTTAACTCAAATTTGTATGAAGTTGGAACAGCGCCCCTAGCGGCAAACGTAGGCAAACGTTCCAACTACATACAAATTTGAGTTAACGTTTACGCTATCGAGAACGTTAAAAAACTCGAAATAATCACACTCAAGTGTTGCGGTCGGCAGTTTCGAAGCGACAAACTCACCACTCCTTCAGCCAAACGTCTGTGGATGAATAGAACACTTGGGCAACCAGGAACAGAGCGATCAAGAGGGTCATGGACCATTTGTTGCCCCCGCTCCTAACGTAAGCCATGTAAACGCTGTTTGACACCGACCCTGTGCCTTGGGATTCGCCTGTAAAAAAAACCACTTAAATCTGATTTTTATATACATAGAGCACTGTGTAGTATTACTATTATTTTATTTGGAAGACAAACTGGTGGTAGGACGTCTTTTGAGTCCGGACGGGTAGGTACCACTACCCTGCCTATTTCTGCCGTGAAGCAGTAATGCGTTTCGGTTTGAAGGGTGGGACAGACGTTGCAACTATACGGAGACCTTACAACTTATATCTCAAGGTGGGCGGCACATTTACGTTGTAGATGTCTATGAGCTCCGGTAACCACTTAACACCAGGTGGGTTGTGAGCTCGTCAACCCAACTATGCGATAAAAAAAACAGTATACTTAAACTACATTAATACCATTTACATGTGTCCACATTTAAATAACTAAAAGCATGTGACGTCGCATAGCTTAGAATTGAATACTGAACACAGAGCGAAAGAGAAAAAGATTTTAGAAAACATAGTAAATTAAAAATAATCAATTAAACTTTTGCATTCAACCATCGTCCTCCGTATCCTCCAAATTTCTGCCTTATTCGCTTGTCTCAAGGAGCATGTCTCTAGTCACGTTGTAATGTCTATGGACTCCGCTGATCACTTAACAACGAGTGGGCCGTGAGTACATTCAAGCATTTTAAATTAGAATATAAAAAAAATACAAATTTCAGCATAATCGTGACATTTCTAGAAATTGCTAGTACATTCATGTCTTAGAAAGAATGACACCAAATAGGTCGCGAACAGTATGTTAAGATGTAAAAACATTTTATTAAAATCATAAATATCTAAACAACGTTTTCCTAAAAACTATACACATTTCACAAAAACTATTTTAATTTATATTGTACTAGCGACCCGCCCTCGCTTCGCTTCGGAAACATTAAAACACACATAAAACCAAAAAAATAAAATAAAAAAAAATTAAAAAAAAGTAGCCTATGTTCATCAGGGACAATGTCGGCTTCTAATGGAAAAAGAATTTTTCAAATCGGTCCAGTAGTTTCGGAGCCTATTCGAAACAAACAAACAAACAAATCTTTCCTCTTTATAATATTAGTATAGATATAGAAGACGAATTTTCATAGATTTGATGAAGCTATATATTATTAGTAATATAATATGATTTAAGTAACAAGGTTTTTAATATGTGTAGTTGAGTAGCAGGAGCTGATTAAAGGGATTTAAAAATTAAAAACCCACCTTCATATTTGGGATCCAAATTGTTGTCTAGGTCAATGTTGAATGACATTTGAGACGCTTGAGACATTGAACGTTGCGATTTCAGTTTGTGTTCCTGTTAAAATAAACATATATATACATTATAAAAAATATTATATATATTATAAATTATTATAAAAAACTACTACAAACCTTGAGGCATTAGACATTATGGTCGACTTTCGATTGTTCAGATGAACACAACTACATTTTATTCTTAGCAACAATAAATTTTTATCTCTGGTAGGAATGGCTACTAAATTTTACTAATTACTATTTATAATATTTACATTACAACAGCCTCTGTTGCTCTAAGTAACTAAACCAACTTACGGCCCACTTAATATTAAGTGACCGCTACGAATCGTACTGACAACGTTACGTCGACTTCGACCTCACGTCTCAAAAACGTGAGACAACGAATTCGGTCGCTTACCGGCGAGTGGGCCGTCATTGTAAATCAAATTTGACTAACGCTTCGTTTAAATTCCGACACATTGTTCCCGACCCTCATTGTGACGTTATAGACCTTATAAAATGAAAAGCGATTAGAGTTGTGTTTAATTTATATTTCAATGTCATCCGATTTTGGAATGAAATCTACGGTGTTTCTCGAGCGCTATGACATGTCCTTCTTCTAACGAGGCTTGTGGAGAGTACTTAACAGTAAGCAGCGGTTTAGCTTTTTTATTTATTTTTTATTGCTTAGATGGGTGGACGAGCTCACAGCCCACCTGGTGTTAAGTGGTTACTGAAGCCCATAGACATCCACAACGCAAATGCGCCACCCACCTTGAGATGTAAGTTCTAAGGTCTCTATTAGTTACAACGGCTGCCCCACCCTTCAAACCGAAACGCATTACTGTTTCATGGCAGAAATAGGCAGGGTGGTGGTACCCACCCGCGCGGACTCACAAGAGGTCCTATCACTAGTAATTACACAAATTATAATTTTGCGGGTTTAATTTTTTTACACGATGTTATTCCTTCACCGTGGAAATCAATTGTGAACATTTGTTAAGTACGTATTTCATTAGAAAAATTGGTACCCGCTTGAGATTCGAACACCGGTGCATCGCTCACACAAATGCACCGGACGTCTTATCCGTTAGGCCACGACGACTTCTGGCATTGCTGACGTCCATGGGCGACGGTAACCGCTCACCATCGGGTAAGCTGTATGCTCGTCTGCCTATAAGGGCCATTAAAATAAGTCCCACCATTATTTACTCTGCACTACCTTTGGTTGACTGGCAGAGAATGCCCTAAGCCATAAGACCACTAATGTAAATAATACATGAAATGTAATTGACACGGTGTCAAACTTTAGTCACTTATACACGCCTCATTGGTCCAAGGACCGTTGCGCAAAAGCACATTCACACATTTGAGGTCTTTATTATCTTTGGGTTTCGTTGTATCCATAATATATAATATTATATTATCTTCAATTTCGCGAATTATTTCAACTATTGCCTAGATAGGTGGACAGGCTCGCTGCCCAGCTAGCAGTAAGCGGTCATCAACGCGAGACCCGAGTTCCGAGACTTGCAGCACGACCCTCCCCCCCCTCCCTCCCTTCGAAACGGAAGCCTTCAAATTGACACAACTTTTACCGTTTAGGCTCCTCATCCTTTCTTTAATTTCATGGACCAGTAAATGCTTCTAGTTTGAGACATGAGGTCCAAATGTCTATCGTATAGCTGAACCTCGGAACCGGGGTGTCAGCGGAGGCGGGTATATCGGCGGTCCCCCGCGCGGAATACGGTCCCCGCACTAAAAGTTTACTGGTGGTAGGACCTCTTGTGAGTCCGCGCGGGTAGGCACCACCACCCCGCCTATTTCTGCCGTGAAGCAGTAATGCGTTTCGGTTTGAAGGGTGGGGCAGCCGTTGTAACTATACTGAGACCTTAGAACTTATATCTCAAGGTGGGTGGCGCATTTACAATGTAGATGTCTATGGGCTCCAGTAACCACTTAACACCAGGTGGGCTGTGAGCTCGTCCACCCATTTAAGCTATAAAAAAAAAGTTTGTGTCAAATCGAGTTTAACACTTACAATGCTCTCCTGATTCTCGTACGACGCCGCTTTCTGCTTGAGCTTTTCCTCTTCGACCTTCTCACCCATTTCAATCAGCTTCTCGAACTCAGGCACTGAGCTTTTGAGCTCCTCGTACGTGCCTTGCGCCACTATCTGTCGATGGAATATGTATATGGATCAAATCACACCACGTGACAGTAAATAATAATATAATTCCCTTAACAACTCTGATCTTGACGATGTATGATGATCTTAACGTGTAGGTGAGCTCACGGGGCTCAAACCGGAGTGTCGCTAACACTGGCCTTAGCAAGAGCCGCGCTTCGCAGGATCTACCACCGGATCGGATACACGACCCACTGAGATGATCCGGCGAGAAAATCAGTGGGCATATTAAGTCGAAGCTGTCATGACATGAGACATGAGGTCTTCTTCTTTTTCTCCATCTTATGCCACTAGGTGGGGTTGGCACTGCTATTTTTTCTCTTCCATTCTCTTCTATCAGCCGTCATCTCAACACTAACCTCTCTCTCTCTCTCTCCCTCATATCGACATTAACACACTCCATCCATGTCTTCTTCGGTCGACCTCTTCCCCCTCTACCTTGCACTACCATTTCCGGACATCTCCTAGTCACATGCATCTTCTCTCTACTCATCATATGTCCATACCACGTTGTCTTGAGACATGAGATCTGGGGTTCAATTATATAGCGACTGTCCTGCCCTTGACTTGAAAAAATTATTAGCCTTAAGATGTTATTATAAAGTTAACAATTCTTTAAACGACAAATCATTTTGTTAATATTAAATTCGCTTCTTTCTGTTCTCTGTTTTCGTTTTATAACATCAATAACTAAATCTTAGTCAATTAATTTATTTTGTTATTTGATATTTTAATTAATTAATATATTTACTGACTGCATTTAACATAAATAATTTTGAATAGTATTTGCACGCTGACCTGGTAGAAACACGGTGTTCTATAAAATAACTATCAACAACTTTGTAAGCCGTGTTTTAGCTTTTACTGGTGGTAGGACCTCTTGCGAGTCCGCGCGGGTAGGTACCACCGCCCTGCCTGTTTCTGCCGTGAAGCAGTAATGCGTTTCGGTTCGAAGGGTGGGGCAGCCGTTGTAACTATACTGAGGCCTTAGAACTTATATCGCAAGGTGGGTGGCGCATTTATGTTGTAGATAAACACCAGGTGGGCTGTGAGCTCGTCCACATATCTATGAAATACATAAAAAAAAAATTGTAGTCTGAATGCACTATTGAAACCGTGAGGGTAGTGGGTACCTTCCCGCTCCTCATGAGCAGCACGTTGCTGGCGCCCCTGGCGTACTGCACGTGGTGGGTGACCAGCAGCACCGCCTTGTCGCGCAGCATGCCGCGGACGCACTCCTCGTACATGGCGGACGCCACCTGCGGGAGACAACGTCGAGAGCACACACATCAATCAGGATGTACTGTCTTGTCCTACTCGTCCTATAGTTGTAATGAGCATTGTGTACCTACTTAACACATTTAATTTTGTTATGATTAGTTGTTATAAATAAATAAACCAACAAATAAATTAATGAATAAACAAAAAAAAAAACAAATAATTAAATAAACAAATAAATAAACCTAGAAGATATATAAAGCTTAACAAGATCGAACTTGAATAATTTTTATGAACTTATTGATTGAAAGATCGACTGACTGACGACTGGTGTTTATGGTTCTCTCATGCATTTATAATTTCAAATGTATTTCAACCTTAATTCGTTTAAAATAAGGATTAAAAGTGGTTAAAAAGGAGGGGGCACAGATCTGTGACAAGACGGTTTAAGAGGGGTGCACAGAACTGTGTCAAAACGTTCGAAAAATTAATGGAATGCGTGTATATATCTAGGGGTGAAAATCTATTTGGTTTAAGCGCAATTTTTGCAGCTTCACAGGAGAGCCAATTAAAGGGTAAACATTTGGAAATAATTTTATTCAGCCATTTGAATACACTAAACTTAAATGAAGTTCAATTAAAAACATCGAACTGTTGATGCTAATCTATATATATATATAAAAATGAATTGCTGTTCGTTAATCTCGCTAAAACTCGAGAACGGCTGGACCGATTTATCTAATAATGGTCTTGAATTATTTGTGGAAGTCTGGAGAAGGTTTAAAAGGTAGATAAATATGAAAATGCTCGGAATTAAATAAAAATGACAATTTTGTTTTTCCTTTGATGTGTCCCCCGTCGGATGTATTCCTTTTGTTTGTTTTAAGTTTATTTTATACAAAAGTTTAGGTCTTTTATTTATAGATTGAGGCACTACGAAGTCTGCCGGGTCAGCTAGTACCAAATATATTTTAGCCCATTTAATTACAAAGAAAAATGTCGCTTGTACCTAACAGCATTTCACCCCTCGATATATACAGGGTGTCCCAGAAAGAATGGATAATCCTGAAATACCTCATAGTAGAGATATTAGGGAATCAAAAATAATAATAAAAAAAAATTCTTAGGCAGTACCCAAATTAAAAATAAAGAAAAAAAAAACAATTTGATGAAATGATTAAATTTAAGTTCAGATTAACTTTTATGAAAAATTGCAAGACTACTCATACGATTTCCTGCATATTCCTTAGTGTAGTTCAAGTAGAATATTACAACACCAAAAAGCCTATGGATTTCATTTATTTGTAGCTTTTGTATATTCCAGAAACGCACAGCAGTATGGAAAATATCAACTTTTTTTAAAAAATAAGTAATTTGTGCACTACCTGAGAATTTTTTAATTTTTAGTTTTTATTTTGAGTCCCCAGTAGCTCTACTATGAGGCGTTTCAGGACTATCCATTCTTTCCGGGACACCCTGTATATATGTTTCAAAACAAACAGAAGACGGTTGTTGCTGTTTGCACCAAACATTTCCATTTGAGGATTTTTTTTGCATTTACCTATTTTGAAAATAATAGCGACGTACGCACAGTACTTTCAATGTGACACATATGAAATCCACTTTGTAAACTGAGCACGGGTTTGCTAATACTTGCCCTAGCGAGAGCAGTGCTTCGCAGTATCTACCAACGGATCGGAATTGTGACCCACTAAGGAGATCCGGCGAAAAACTCAGTGGGTTGACTTTCGATATTGAATTAGGCCAGTACTCATGAAGGCTCCGAACTTGTCACCGGTAAACACGACGACTTACTTTAGCATCGACGGCCGCCAGCGGGTCGTCGAGGAGATAGACGTCCGCATTCTGGTACACGCACCTCGCCAGAGATATCCTGGCCCTCTGACCGCCTGACAATGATGCACCTGAAATCATTATATCGTCTAGATAAAGCTGATTTCCTTTTTTTGTTGCATTAAGGAGCACTTACTGTTGAGTGATCATGGGCCAACAAGCAAACCAAACAAAGTGTTCAGCGATGTTAAATATCTGTATTAACCAATGTCTATTAGTATGTGTATTATGTTTGCTCATTTCCGTTTCCTGTAAAATCTGTCACTGTCATTCAAGGACAAATAAATATGTATATTCTTCTCTGCAAAAATGTGTATTAATAAAATAATCCAGTAGCATCCAAGATATAGTAAGCTCCTATGATAAACAAAATATCAAAAAGCGGTTTACAAAAAACCACGGGCCAAACGATCTCAAAAGCTCCAAGGAATTGAGTTGATCTCCTTTTTACCATCGCACCGCCCGCCACCGGAGCAGAGTTCATCCATACTACCTGAAGCCACTACGTTCATCCACGTTTACCAGATATTTTTTGTCACCATGATTCTTCCACGGTCCTTCTTCAAATGAGGCCTGTGAAGAGTACTGAACACTAGGCAGCGGCTTGACTCTGCCTCTGACATTGCTGATATCCATGAGCAACGGTAACCGCTCACCATCAGGTGGGCCATATAATCCAGTCCATTTGCAAAGTCAATAAAAAAAAACGATCTCTATTCCTTAATATGATGATGATGTGTAAAGCTCACCCCTCTCCCCGACTATAGTCTTGTCTCCGTGCGGCAGTATCTCCAAGTCGCTCTTCAGCTGACAGCATCGTATAACTTGCTTATAACGCCTTAGATCCAACTCCTGGCCGAAGAGTATGTTCTGACGGACCTGTATCATATTAGAATATAATATTTTATCAGATGAGGGTACCAAACAACTTTTTCTTTATAATTATCTTTTATCTTTATTGTGTGTGCCATTACATTTTCTTTCTTCTTCTTTTCTTAATGGTGAACTCTAATCTGGTGTCAAACGTGACGCGATGGTAGAATAAAGACCAGTAATCGTCTCCGTAAATTCGATAAAGCCCTTCCTCTGGTCTTTACAGTGCAAAACCCCAAAATCGACCAGAGGTTCTAAATGATTCGTACTACAATCGCTTAGAAACGAAATAGTTTTTTATTGCTTAAAGGGTGAATGAAAAATCAAAAAAAAATCCAGTAACCACTTAACCCACCTGGTGTTAAGTGGTTACTGGAGCCCAAAGACATCAGCAACGTAAATGCCACCACCCGCTTCGAGACATGAGTTTTAAGTCTTACTTTTACAGTACAACGGCTGCATTATTTTTTAAACCGAAACGCATTCTTGCTTCACAGTGTAAATACTAGTTCAATAATATGAAGGTTATTGGTCTTAAAACACCATTTTAACCGTTCCAACTTGGCGAGTCCTCTTGTTTCATGGGTATTTAAGTCCTTGGGGCTCAAAGTAAGGACTGGATGCGTGAGGCAAGAGACCGAAAAGAACGGGATGCATCTGAAGCCGTTGTGGCCTAATGGATAAGACGTCCGGTGCATTCGTATGTAGCGATGCACCGGTGTTCGAATCCCGCAGGCGGATACCGATATCTCTAATGAAATACAACAAATACAAATGTTCACGATTGACTTCCACGGTGAAGGAATAACATCGTGTATCAAAAATCAAACGCGCAAAATTTAATTTGCGTAATTACTGGTGGTAGGACCTCTTGTGAGTCCGCGCGGGTAGGTACCACCACCCTGCCTGTTTCTGCCGTGAAGCAGTAACGCGTTTCGGTTTGAAGGGCGGGGCAGCTGTTGTACTATAAAAATTGAGACCTTAAAATTTTCAAGGTAGGTGGTGGCATTTACGTTGTAGATGTCTATGAGCTCCAGTAACCACTGAACACCTGATGAGCTCGTTCACCTATCTAAGCAATAAAAAAGCATTCGAAGAGTCCTACACTCATCATCAGATGGACATGCGATGAAGATGAACAGGTTCAGTTTTAACACCCTACTCACGGACGCTTCGAACAGCCACGGGTCCTGGGCGGCATACGCGACAACGCCGTTGACCTCCAAATGTCCGCTGCTCGGTATTATTTCACGTAAGATCGCTTGGAGCAGCGTCGATTTACCAGCACCTACCGTGCCCACAATGGTCGTCAGTGTTTCTGGTTTGATCTGAAAACGAATATTTTAATTAAGCGCAAAGAAAGCGGTTAATATTTGTTGCGACTGTCACTAAATGTACGTAATACATATATATATATATATATTTTGTTTTTATTGCCTTTGTAGGCAGACGGGCATACGGCCCACCTGATGGTGAGTGGTTACCGTCGCCCATGGACTTCAGCAATGCCAGGGGCAGAGCCAAGCCGCTGCCTACCACTTAATACTTAATAATAATAATATTTCGTTAATACACCTGCCATCAGTCTTATTTAGGTAGTGTTTTGTTTAGGAAACCTCCTTGAGGATGTCTTTACAAAGTTTCACAACACAATCTGGTGACAAGAACGCACAGGACACAAGGAAGCACTGTTACTGGTGGTAGGACCTCTTGTGAGTCCGCGCGGGTAGGTACCACCACCCTGCCTATTTCTGCCGTGAAGCAGTAATGTGTTTCGGTTTGAAGGGTGGGGTAGCCGTTGTAACTATACTTGAGACCTTCGAACTTATATCTCAAGGTGGGTGGCGCATTTACGGTGTGGATGTCTATGGGCTCCAGTAACCACTTAACACCAGGTTGGCTGTGAGCTCCTCCACCCATCTAAGCAATAAAAAAAAAGCAGAGTTACAAATATGTATATCCGCAGTGAGTAGTTTAATACAAAAATAAGACGACGTAGCATCACTAGAACACAGTAGCGGCGTCGCATAATTATTTGGTAATCAAATAAAGTGAGCTTCAATGCAAGCTGTGCTGTACTAATCCAGACATAAAAACTGAATAATTCTTACTATAATTCTAATAACCAGTGGTCCCGCAGTAGTCGAAATTCGACTATAATTAATTTAAATTATAAATTTGAATATTATTATGATTCTATTCTCAAAGACTATTTATTATGTTTTATAATCACAGATTTCGTCAAAGCTACACTATAGACAAATAAACATTATTAACCTATTCTCAATTTAGCCACAGAATAAAGCAACAAAAGTTTGACAATAAACATAGAGTATATGTGTGTGTGTCAAATACATTGTAGTGTGTGTAATGTTTTTTTTTATTGATTTAATGTACTATTAATGCACAATTTAAAAAAAAATATCATTCTGCACTCCTTCACTATATTCTCTATAAGTCAGGGAAATTTCATACTCCTCCGTCCGGGCGATTTTCGTAAAAAAGGGTACAAACTTTTTGCTTCACGTATTAATATATAGATGTGTTGTTTAATCAGATACCTGTACAAACTTACAGTAAGATTAATATTAGCTAATGCGGTCACTTTTCCATCCATAGATTCGTCCTCAGCGTTTTTCCAGTGCGCGTTGAAATCTTTCATGGACACCAGGACCTGAGGTTTCAGATTTTCCAGGTTCGCTTCAGACTTCACATACGCTTGCTGGCTGTAATACACGATTAAAGAACAATAAAAACATATGCTTCATTAATATGTATTAAAAACTTATTGGATAGCGCAAGGTGTGTCTCGATGACATTATTATATAAAATATAATATAATATTACCCTTTTAGGTAAATAAATATAAGGTATTGTAAGTAATACTTAGAAATGATATTATAATCTTAGTTAAAAATAACAAACAAGTTGTTATTATTCTTTGTTTATTTTAATTTCTTTTCATTCATAGATTATTATTATCTGATAAATAAATGAATCATTTTTATTATACATTGTAATGATGCTTCGAAGAAAGCACAACAGACGATAACTCACCCGTTTCCGATCTTCTCGAAGACTCCGTTCTGAACCTGAGTTTTCTCTTCGATTGTGACCAGGTCTACTCCGTCTTGATTATCCACCTCGGGCAGGAGCAGGAACTCCTAAAATTAGAAAAACATAATGAATTTCCTCTAAGCTCACCGTCGAGCCATCGGGAAATGAAACTAGATATCCATAATTTATCAACTGGTGACTACGAGTCGTACAATTTTAAATCAAATTGACTATTATTTGGTGCGAAAACTCGTAAACCACTTAGCATTTTAACATTCACTTTAGCAACACTTTACCATCTTCGAATACCGCTTCTAACCAGCGACAGTGCACTGACATTGTCATTAACAAATATTCCGAACTACCCTCACCTGTATCCTCTTAACGCTGACGTACGCCTCCAGCGTGAACGTTATCGCGAGCGGCAAAAAATCCACCAGAGTGTACTTCAGGATGTCGTAATAAGAGAATATCACGAAGACTTTGGCCGCTGTCAGTTCATTGCCCAAGGTGATGTACGATATTATGCTCAGGAATATCGCCACCTTCGTGTTCAGCTTTACGCAGGATATCATCACCGCCCGGAGCCACGACTTCTTCTTTATCACGTTCATTTCTTTCCTGGAGGGAGGAAAGTCACTGGTGGTGGGACGTCTTGTGAGTCCGCACGGGTAGGTAGCCACCAACCTGCCTATTTCTGCCATGAAGCAGTAACGCAGGCAGCCGTTGTACTATAAAGACTGAGAACTCATGGCCCAATGTGAGTTTTACCATATTATTATACCGTTTTGCAAATAAGTCGACATACTCACTTTCTAGCATCTCCGATGATCCTAGCGAAGGCGTTCTCCCAGGCATACATCTTAATAGCCTCTATGCTTTGCACTACCTCATTCATCAGCCGGATGCGATGGTCAGTGCGCACCGCCACCTTCCTGCGTAGATTACTGGATATTTTACCCAGGTAACCTGATCGGTAAGACGCATGTACAGAGTACCGGAAATTACAGATAAGGTATAACAGTAAAAAAAAATTTTTGAATAGCAGGCAATGTAAGACGAATTAAAATCGGCTAGTTTTGCACTTCATTGCGTGTTCGCGCAATATGAACTCGATAATACTAAAAGCATTTACGGGGTTGTATGTTATGTTTATCGGGTGTATTCTGCATATATATTTTTAATACAGCAATGAACCTTCCAAATTAATCTCTACTCCAGTCATCTTAGTCGACTGGTGGAGAGTGCTTTAGGTATTAAGTCCTCCACTGTACACTTTGTGCTTAAATTTAAATAAATAAATAAATGGATATTGTTTTCTAGTCTAGTCTAGTGGATAGTGTTCTTTAGTCTAGTCGTTGCTTGTAATTTTTGGAAAAGGAGAAGAGGTGTCTACACAATGCGTTACGCATACAACAACATTGCTTTTAATTTTTGTACGTACAATATTTAGACGTATATTCATTGGTTTTTGTTTTACATATATGGGTGAAAGAGCTTATAGGCATCTATCCTGTATTAAGACTGTCTCCGACTTCAAAAAACAGAGCACTACACCTTAGCCAATAAATTAGGAGCGCGAAACTGTGCTGCCTCAGGATACGCCCACTAGCAAACGCTAGTACAGCTGTTCGGAAGGAATTAACCAGTCACGTAAATTGTATATCCAAACTCACCTTGCAGTGGAATGAAGAGCAACAGAAACGCCACCCCGATTAATGTGGCCACCCCGATCTGCCTATACATCAGGTAGATGATGATCGTGCTATCTATCGGGGTCCGGATCAGGTCCATCGCGAATAACGAGGCCATGTCGAAGCGCTGGGCGTCTGTGGTCAGGAGATTGACCACGTGACCGGCCAGCCCTTCCGTAGCCTTGCCACCGACGGTTAAATCTATACGAAGCAACTGTGGAAGACAAAGTGGAAAATTACGAATACGTTAATAGAGGTAGTCGACAAACTAAAATAAAAACGATGTACATTGCCGATCGCGATGTCGCTACTATGAAACTGAGATGGACTGCGAAATGTCCCCACCAACTCTTAACTTGAGCCTTCTCTGAGGTATTGATTCCTGCATAATTAAAATTTCGGTGTACCCTTCACGTTGACATGAAGTCGTTGTGGCCTAAAGGATCAGGCGCCCGGTGCACTCTTTTCAAGAAATTCAACGGTATTCGAATCCCACAGGCGGGTACCAATTTTTCTAATGGAATACGTACTTAAGAAATGTTCACGAATGATTTCCACGGCGAAAAATCAGACCCGAAAATATAATTGGCGTGAGTAGGGGTGGTAAGGCGTCTCGTGAGCCCGCACCCTACAACCCTGCCTATTTCCACCGTGTAGCAGTAATGAGTTTAGATTTGAAGGGTGGGGCAGCCTGTACTGTAAGAAATTGAGACTTAAAACTAATGTAACAAGGTGAGTGGCGGCATTAACGTCGTTAATGTCCATGGGCTCCGTTAACCACTTACATGTAACTAGGCAGTGACCTAGTCCACACACATAAGCAATAGAAAGAACCGAATATGGAACGAAGAAGATTTAACAAACCTTTCTGTATAAGAGCGAACAGCATCCTACTCTGATCTTGACGGCCGTGTCCAGCAACCAAAGTAGGAACGGATGCATCATCATAGCACTCGCCACCATGCAACTGAAAATTGAAGTTTCTCCTCACATAAAGCTTTTGAGTTTCGTTCATGATAGATTCATGAAGGCTGAGCTGAATGAAATTTATGTGATTGAAAATCTCACGGATCTGCTGAACCGAGACGAACAAGCGATGAAGCTTTTAAAAATCCACTGTTGAGGGTAATTGACAAACAAACAAAAAAAGCATACAAATAATGACGTCATCGCTATCGTTGCTAGACTGTTAGAGAGAGATAGCGAGATGTCGCCACTGCTCGAAGTATCGGTCTAGAGGGACGTAAGACAAGCTGTGACGGTCCACCTGCTGTATATAGTCATTGGAAATAACAGACATCATCATGACGTGGATGCCGCCACCGACTTTGAGACACGGCTTTGAAGTCTGAGTTGCATAACGGCTGACCCAATATTTAAACCGGAAAGCATGTCTGATCCGTGGCAGAAATAGGCAGGATTAATAGGACCGATAGAAAAGCACAGTATCCAGATTCCGTAAGGTTTTCCGGGTTCCGCTTATCACCAAAAGCCGTGTTAGCTCTATCATTCGGCACAGTGACTCACTGGATTCGTTTAACAAATTTGATTCTCCTCCTAATTCGAAGAGTTCACTCTAATGATATATTGGCGCAAGTCGATGTCCCATTATGGAGATTGAGAATGATATAAAATTTTCGTTAAATACAGATCAGGGCTAGGCGGCGGCTCGGCTTGCTGATGTCCACGATCGGCTGTGACTATTTTATAAGGCAATCGTAGCTACAATTTATTTGGCAACAACGAAGCCGGGTAAATCTCTAGTGGTGTTCGGGCCTTGCTTTTCGGAGAGCAACTTGAAATTTATTCTCGGCATCTGATGAAACGCAGCCCTTAGGTTTATCGCCACGATTTTTAGATCGCTTCGAAAGTAGGTAGGTACTAACGTCACAATTTAAATTTATTCAATTAACTCACCCGACCACACCAGCTGCGTATAGGTACGCGTGTTCGAACGGGACCCCGCCGTGAGACGGCGAGAAGTAATTTATCAGACCTTCCAGGCATAGCGGTATCGACAACCTTGAATGAACCAAACAGAATGAGAAATAGTTGACGGATGTAGCGGACTTATCACGCGAGGCCTTGGCCTAAAAGCACCACTCCTTGGTGTGCTCATTTCTGTTTCAGTGGAAGATTAATTTCCCTATTTTTATTTGTCATTATGTTAAAACAAGATACCGCTTTAGTACCAAATCAGTCTTCATTGTATATAGACGACATCATATAATCCAGTATATCGGCAGTTGTTTGTTAAATGTAGCAGTAATAGACAAGCGCATACCACTTCGATTATCCCTAGAGCAACCTTTCAATTAATACCACATTTTTTTAATGATGACACAAGACACTCAGGAATTATAATTAAAACTGGCAATTTTTCGCTCGGTTTCCAGTTGAAGATTGTGAAACCATAAATTTGGGTTTTTAGACCAGAGCTTGTTAATGACAAAAATCTCAGGCTATTAATCCAAAGGTTCTCTCTATCCATTAATAACGTTTAGCATTACTAGTAGTACCGAGAGGCACCACCATTCCCCCGATTACAGCCACGACACAGTGGTGCGTTCCAGTTTGAAGGGTGAAGCAGCTGTCATATGTTGAAGATGCCACTTCGACTCAAGAAGTGTGAAGGCATGCAATAAATTTAAACCAACTCCTAATGCTTAGATTACTGTTGGAGTTCGCACGATTTGAGACCACAATGCTCCGACTTGATCCATTGTCTCCGAATGAGCTCGGCTATAAAGAGCTTCCTGGCTGTTCCACAAACAAAAAACTTACTTAGCAGCTGTATCGAAGAGGGAGAATATAATATTTCCAATGAAAAACTTTAATCCGTATATTCTTAATATGGCCGCGAGAAGGGACGGTTTTCTTCCCGATTCTGGAATAAATAAACGGGGTCTTCATAAATTATGGTCAGCGATACGACCTCAAGTTTCTTCAATTTGTCACGAAGGACATATTGGCATGTGTCCAACTGAAACTTTAAGTGAGCACATATCTAAAATATTTACAGCCACAGATGTCTGTATCAGTGTCGCGTCATTAGGAGGACGGAGCCTCAATTATTTTAGTGTATCACCTATAAGTCCTTTCATATCGAATTTAAAGGATATGACCGGCTCCTTTGGCCGGCCGATCTTTGATCTTTCATCACTATCATACAGGATCATGTGCTGGGTCATTCTGAAGATTACCAGAAAGCTCCATCAAAATCGGTCCAGCCGTTTCGGAATCCATGGAGAACGTATACACATAGACATTTACATGTAATAAAATCTAGATGAAGAAAGAAACAAACCTTTCTTCTTCAGTTCTTGGGTCCACATCGCACCGAGAGCATCGCCTCGTGGTGTTGCCTTTAAGTAAGGCAAGCATCTGAGAAAGAAACAAATAATCAGAACCTTCAGGAAGTCGCCCAGTCTGATCCCCAACCACAAGGCTCGTGCTAAAATGACGCCTCTAAATCTGCTTTTTTAACACCGCACGAAACAGGAGCGCGAATGATCATATATTTAGCGATTGACAATGTGTACATAATAGTATATGTATTTAGTTGGTAATATAAATTAGATTTTTTTTGTCATGATGCGTGGACTAGGTTACGGTTCATTTGGCGTTAACTTGCCATCGGAACCCAAAGACATCGTAAAACGCTGCTTAAAGACCCCGTTTTTACAGTACAATGGCTGCCGTACTTTTTAAACCTAAACGCATTACTGCTTCACGGCAGAAATAGGCAGGGTGGTGGTGCCTACCCGTGCGGACTCACAACACGTCCTACCGCCAGTAAAAGCTAGTCTACACAATATTCAAACATCGACGAACAACACCTAATTCGGTCGCGACCATGAAAACTGTAGTCAGTATAGGGAGAAGTCTCAAATAATCTACGAATTATTTATTCGTAGCAAATAATCAATTGAATAAAATAAACGCGATATTGAACCTTATGGGGTTTAATTTACAGGTGTTGTGATATATATTTGACTGATTCAGTGGTGCGGTAGTTAGCAGCCCCTGACTGTTGCGCCGAGGGTCGTGGGTTCGATTCCCGCATCGGGCAAACATTCGTATGATTAACAGATTTTTTGCTCTTTGTCTGGGTGTTTATTAGCTATGTATGTATATATTTGAACGTTTATAAATATGTTTCACAGTCTCCGGTACCCATAACACAGGGAATCCTAATATATCGGGCCGGATGACCGTGCGTCATTTGCTCACAATTTTTTATTTATCTATATATTAATGCGTGAAGCAAAAACCTTGTATCCCTTTTTACAAAAATTTCGCGAACGGAGGAGTATGAAATTTTCCACACTTATAGAGAATATAGAGAAGAAGTGCACAATGCTAATTTTTTTTTTTAATCATGCATAAAAGATACATTAAATCAATAAAGAAAACATTACACACACTACATACCATGTATTTGACGCACACACGCATGCTTATTATTTATTGTCAAACTTTTGTTCTTGACGTCTGTTGTCAAATTGAGAATAGATTAAATATTGTTTGTCTTTGTTAATATTTTTTATAGTGTAGTCTTGGGCGAAATTTGTGATTATAGAAGTATAAAATACAATCATAATAGTGTACAAACTTAAAATTCCAATTAATTATAGTCGAATTTCGACTACTGCGGGACCTCTAGTTACATTTATGACATAATACATATCGAGGTGTGAAAGACATTTCGCTCATAACACGACTTTTATGTTCGTAATAATTAAAGGTCCGTTTTATTTGGTATTATGTAGTACCAAAACAATTCGATGTTTTTAATTGAACTTCAATTAAATTTACTTCGTTCAAATAGCTGAACAAGTTTTTGTTTAATGACATTTTTTCTAAATTTTAAACATTATATCTCCTGTATAGTTGCAATCGACAGAGTCATTAGTGGAATCTCTGTACACTGCAGTACAATAGTTCACACTTCATGCAATACACTATCTGGTCTACGGCACACTCAATGGCGATTTTCATGAGGTAGCAAAAGTATCAGTTGATATATCGGCTGCCATAAAATTATCAAAGTAGAAGGATTCGTAAGAATTAACAAAACATACGTCAAATCTACATTTCATTCAGCCACTGATCAGAATAATACCATAACGGAGAGCTAACGTGTTATGTATAAGGCTCAAAATCGCACAGCAGACGATGACGTATAATACAAACACTCGATAGCAAGACAATGGTTCGGTTATGTGACGTCGATTGTGTGAAGAATACAATTTAAAACCCTTCAAGGTCAGCGCTTTTGTTCTTCCCTATCACTCACGGACCGTGAGGTGAACTCGCGGGGCTCAATATGGGAGGTATTGATAGCACTAGGCCTAGCAAGGCAGTGAACCTACCACCGGTTCGAAATCGCGGTCCACAGAAAAGATCCGACAGGAAGCTGCGTGAATCGGTAAATGAGCATTAACCATCCGAATAAGAACTGTGGTAAACGTTACAGCTAGTGAGAGATTCCAATTCAAGAAAAAAATCGACATTCATCTCTCATCTAGAACGTGATTGTGTATTCTTCTATGACATATAAGCAATTATAAATTTAATGCCGCCATCCAACTTGAGACATGAGGTCCAAGTCTCAATTTGTACGGTACAACAGCTGCCCCAGTTCTTGGGACAGGAAAGGATCTTCCAGAGGCAGTTTTTTTTTTTATTGCTTAGATGAGTGGACGAGCTCACATCCCACTTGGTGTTAAGTGGTTACTTGGTTACTGGAGCCCATAGACATCCACAACGTAAATGCGCCACCCACCTTGAGATATAAGTTCTAAGGTCTCAAGTAAGTTACAACGGCTGCCCCACCCTTCAAACCGAAACGCATTACTGCTTCACGGCAGAAATAGGTAGGGTGGTGGTACCCACCCGCGCGGCCTCCCAAGAGGTCCTACCACCAGTAATTACGCAAATGGGCATACCGGGTGGTATCCTTCTATGTGGTACCCGCGCTTAGGAGATATGCGAAATATCAAGGACTCGATGGTAGAAGACGTTAAAAGCCGCGATGGAAGATATTAATGACCCATCCACTAAGCGAAATCCCTGCACCATCGCCCGACGCCCGAACCCAGTCCGAGACAGAGAATCCGGGCAAGGTGGGGGGGACTCTGCGATCAACACTACAAGCAGGCCCGTAGCTATCGCGATTCCGATCCGGTGGCAGATTCTGCGAAGCACAGCTCTTGCTAGGGCTAGTGTTAGCAAATTCTCTCAAGCTGAGCCCGTGAGCTCACCTACCGCTCACCTAGCCTCTTAGGCCAAAAGACGAATAGATAAGGAAAGAAAATACCCGCTCACTTAGCTTTCCGTCAGTTGTACTCCTGATGTCACGCATTGAAAGCTGCAAACCATCACTAGCCTAAATGCTCAATATTTGGAAAGTAACACCGCCTCTTTTATCTAGGATTTTCCGACAATAGTCGTGTCTGTCAGATTAATGACACGTAAATCTAGCTGTAATCTATATCTACCTGTAATATTACACGTCAGACTAGATAATGCTGTTTATGTTTTTGCGAGAAACTATAGACTATAATTTACTGATACGAAAACTGTATTGGAAACTTCGAAAATAATATAATCTATATATTAATACGTGAAGCAAAAACTTTGTATCCCTTTTTACGAAAATTGCGAGGACGGAGGAGTATGAAATTTTTCACACTTAGAGAATATAGAGAAGAAGTGCACAATGCTAATATTTTTTTTAAATAATGCATAAAAGATACATTAAATCAATAAAGAAAACATTACACACACTACATACCATGTATTTGACGCACACACGCATGCATACTATTTATTGTCAAACCTTTGTTCTTGACGTCTGTTGTCAAATTGAGAATAGATTAAATATTATTTGTCTTTATTAATAATTTTTTTATAGTGTAGCCTTGGTGAAATTTATGATTATAGAAGTATACAATACAACCATAATAGTGTACAAACTTACAATTCCAATTAATTATAGTCGAATAACGACTACTGCGGGATCTCTAGTAGGCAATAAATACCTAAACTAAAAAAACCGACGATTTCATTAGATTTATTCATTCTTTTGTCGATATTTTATTATTATTACTTTTTATTGCTTAGATGTGATTTTATTGCTTAGGGTGGACGAGCTTACAGCCCATCTGGTGTTAAGTGGTTACTGGAGCCCATAGACATCTACGACGTAAATGCGTCACCCAGCTTGAGATATAAGTTCTAAGGCCTCAAGTATAGTTACAACGGCTGCCCCACCCTTTAAACCGAAACGCATTACTGCTTCACGGCAGAAATAGGCAGGGTGGTGGTACCTACCCGCGCGAACTCTCAAGAGGTCCTACCACCAGTAAGTCCAATGTGAAGAATTAGAAGTCCAATGTGGAACAAAGAATATTTGAACCATTTTTTCAATATAAATATATATATTATTATGTAGATAGATATACATCTCACCAGTCGAGGTACGTATGTACTTAAGACTGTGCAACTTGTGAGTTAATTAAAAAAAAAAACATCCGATTTAATCTATATTTTTCCTGTTTTCATCTCACAATAACCTTCCACAAGTTTGAATTGCAACAATGAATGAACGAGTGACGTAGAATTCATTAAATGTCTTAGACGTGTAATTAGATGCAGTATTTATGAAATGATGGCATTGTTATTACAAGTTAAAATTAGTCGCTGGTATCTACTAAGGAGCTATTCCAGTTACGCGCGGTTTGGTAAGTGAGCTCACGCGGCTCAACCTGGAACTTAATTGCTGACACTAGCCCTAGCAAAAACAGTGCTTCGCTGAATCTACCACAAGATCGGAATCGCGACCAACCGAGAAGATCGGGCGACAAACTCTAGTGAATTGTGTGTGCGTGGGTGTGAGTGAGTGAGTGAGTGAGTGAGTGAGTGAGTGAGTGAGTGAGTGAGTGAGTGAGTGTGTGTGTGTGTGTGTGTGTGAGTGTGAGTGTGAGTGTGTGTGTGTGTGNATTGCAATGCCTTAAAGCCTTCGATCAACAATAGTAACTATTGATGATCGAAGCTTAAAGCACAAAAAGTGCATCAGGAAATCCTAATCAAATATGTTTATTATGTACTGACCATTCACACTCGTGTCATGTGCGTTATTAAAACGCCTCTAAATCTGCTAGAGGCGTTTCAACATTAACCTTGCGGCTGCTGACCAGCTCAGCAACTACAGGGTCAAAATCAAACCCCTAGTAACTTAAGACATAGCTTAAAGTAGCATATGTCCAACGCTTCGTGAACAATGTAACGAGGTGAATCATACCAGTTTTTATTGAAAGAGTTAAAATTTGGCCCAACGATAATGCCTGTCTAAAATATCATACCAGTTTTTATTGAAAGAGTTAAAATTTAGCCCAACGATAATGCCTGTCTAAAATATCATACCAGTTTTGATTGAAAGAGTTAAAATTTGGCCCAACGATAATGCCTGTCTAAAATATCATACCAGTTTTTATTGAAACAGTTAAAATTTGGCCCAACGATAATGCCTGTCTAAAATATCATACCAGTTTTTATTGAAAGAGTTAAAATTTGGCCCAACGATAATGCCTGTCTAAAATATCATACTAGTTTTTATTGAGAGAGTTAAAATTTGGCCCAACGATAATGCCTGTCTAAAATACCCCATAATTATTGCAGGTTATCGTAGCCAACAAACTCACTATTATTATCGACTTATTCACTGACCTGTACACATCCGAGATGCTGAGCTGACCTTTACGACCTTTCACGAACACCGGGAGAGTGTATCTGCAAAACAAATGTGTGAGGGTAGATTAAATTTAAATAAATTCACCCACTTCATAATTTTGGTGACTTTTCAATAAGACCAGAGCGTTAGGTTGTGATGAACATACTATAGCGGTGTCGTGCCGTTCTTAGGCATCACCACTATTACTTGTACCAACCCGCAGACCTTCAGTGGATCAGAGGGGCGATCACGAATGACTATCGAAAAAGTATTCGTATCGCTATCGAGAAAAATGGTGGTAGGACCTCTTGTGAGTACTGGTGGTAGGGCCTCTTGTGAGTAGTGGAGGTAGGACCTTTTGTGAGTCCGCGCGGGTAGGTACCACCACCCTGCCTATTTCTGCCGTGAAGCAGAATGCGTTTCGGTTTGAAGGGTGGAGCAGCCGTTGTAACTAAGGTGGGTGGCGCATTTACGTTGTAGATGTCTATGGACTCCAGTAACCACATAACACCAGGTGGGCTGGGGCCTGTGTGTCCATCCACCTAAGCAATAAATAACAAAATGTATAGGATTTACACAGCGCTCCTACCGTCCGTAAAAAGAATAAATCTCAGCAGCACGAATGAATCTACTTACTTTTGTTTAGCAAACGAATCTTCACGATCTCGAAACTCGAAAATTATACTCATAATCGAGAGAACGCAAATTGTTTTGACATGCGGTAACGTAAGTCTCGAAGACTGGATATCCGAGTAATACCGTCGTAGATATAAGATTCTAAGGTCTCAAGTATACCTAGTTACAACGGCTGCCCCGCCCTTCAAACCGAAACGCATTACTCCTTCAAGGCAGAAATAGGCAGGGTGGCGGTACCTACCCGCGCGGACTCACAAGAAGTCCTACCACCAGTAAAGAATTTTAATGCAAAGAATTTTAAACTTTCACCTCGTGTCAGGGTATTGAAATTGTCGGATCTATTCCAATCAACAAATTGGCTGAGACGAGACATCATAAGCTAAAAGCGCGTATATCGACGAATCAGAACAATTTCAATACCAATGCCGCTTCCGACTTTCCACCGCAGATCGGAATTAAGAAGAATCTAAAAAAAAAACAATAGCCACTCACCCGAAGCATAGTTTCGACAAAAAATTTGCCTTCTCCCTTGGATCCTGTTTCCTTTCTATATCAAAGTACCCGGGATCCATTCTCCGAGACACGATAGGACCGCATTAAATAAAATTGCACTTTTGAAAGAAGTTCCTATCACGAATTATATTCGAATAAAGCACTTTTTATCACTGGCTCTTTCGTTACAGGCACTTTTTTACACCGAAATATTTACGTACACTAAGTATTTACCCCCATGATTTGTATCTGGAACAAACAAAAAGACGTTACTTAAAATTTTTCAACATATACGGAATATGAGCAGTCAATGTTCTTGCGATCCACCAATCAACAAGTTCTCTCTTCTTCAACCTGTGCCCACCCAATCCCGAATGCAGGTCTCTTCATATACACTAAATTCTTTTGGGTATCTTGCTTTTCGCATCCAGTCTTTACCGGCTATTTCGACCAGATGATGGACATACTTTAATAATCTACACGCACGGCCAAAATTAGAGAGAGATGGAGAAGCCTCGCGAAACCACAACCAACCAATAAGACGATAGATAACCACTACCACCAGGGCCTTGAAACTGCGATACTTTAAGACAAATCTTTTTTGTATGGTAACTAGCGACATCTTGTGGTAGATGCCCCTATACTTATATATTGTTAAAGTTAAGGCATTTAATTATAGTATAACTAAGCACAGAAAATAAATAAAAAATAATAAATCATACAAATCTTTATTTGTTAAAGACAAATTGATTAAATTTTATCAAATTGTGGCTTATGAAAATTTACAAAACCCTTAAATGAAAAATCAAATATAGGATAGGTAATATGTTACTGCCATTTACAGCGGCAAACTAATCGAAGCGAAGCCATCTAGTGGCCGACGTCCGTAAACATTTTTGTCGAGTGCTTGAGTTGCTTATCTTTAACTAATTTATGTGTATTATCTATGACTACCACTCCGCCAGAAGTGTACGACTGAGAAGAAGAAATATATGAACGGACCCTAAGCCTAGACGAAGATGAATAACCAATGGTACTTTAATATCGTGTTAGCGTGTCGTATACACAATTAAAAGTGCTTTTACGACGAGCTCACAGCCCACCTGGTGTTAAGTGGTTATTGGAGCCCATAGACATCTACAACGTAAATGCCCCACCCACGTGTTGGAATAGCCTCTTAGGTTACCAAGGGTTAGGTAAGGAAAAAAAAAGGCTTTGTATCCATTCGGTCAGTGGCGATGACAAAGTGAGCGGGTCACAATGTTTGTTCCAATATACCAAACATTGTTAATAATTAAAGATGATTCGAAGGTGACAAGGTAACGCCTATTTTCGATTTCATAATTAATTTAAAATTAAGCTGGTGCTTATTTAGCGTTCTATTACAATTTAATAATTGAGTAGTGTATGATTTCACGGCTTACCCGACGTAAATTACCAAAGCTTATATATAATATACATAATAATATGCATATATATGTATGTATATCGAGGGGTATAAGTGGTGGGAAAGTGGGAATGAGTTGCTCGCTTCGGGCATTTCAATATTGCAATAATTGTTACGTTATTATACCTCTTGTAAAAATGAATATTTAAAAAAATCTAATATTTAAAAAAGAAAGACATGCCCGCTGAGTTTCGTGCCAGTTCTTCTCAGGACGGAGGCTAGTTTTTGTGAATTGGCGGTAGTTCTTTATGACGTTCAACAAGTGTGTACTTTCATTTATGTTCAATAAAAAAAAAATATTTGACTTAATTTATAAGGCTATTTGTTTCAAGCGACATTTCGCAACTTTACCGGAGAGCCATTTAAAGTTTAAAATTTGAAAAAAAAAATCATAACAAGAAAACTACTATAGCTATTTGAATGGGATAAACTTAATTGAAGTTCAATTTCACCATTCCAATTATTCCATGACTTAATATATTATACGACTTTATATGCTATTTATTGAATTGATACTTCTTTAAGCACGTTGAGAGTAAAATTTTACTCGCGACCGATTCGTTACGGCCAGAGAGAAAAGATACAATTTAGGAGGAGCGAGAGTGAGAAAATAGACAAAGCGTCTCGCGAGCCACTCGACCGTGAAGGGAAAGAACAAAACGAGTTAGGTCGGTTATCTTATACACAGCATTCCCTATTACAAGAGAAACGTGATTTATGGATGAGAAATGAAGAAAACTACAATACTACACACCGAAATTATAGAAGTTACGCTTCTTTCACGTGCACCAAATTGTTTTCTCTCCATTTTTCTATATATATATATATATATATATATAGTAAAGTCCTATATACTTTCCGAGCGACACGAGATCAAAATCTCCATTATATTGACAAACAACGACCGTACCAGATTCCGAATAGTTAATTTATAATCAATCAACACCGCTTTATTTACGGTATCATGAAAATTAAAAAAGCGTCGAACCATTGAATAGTATACAACGCGCTATTTAATTTTAGCAGACGACAGCTACATTCGTGTCGAAGATCAAGCTTCGGGCCCCGCTTCCGAAGCTGTGAAAGGTCAAACGAAAGGTCATCCCATTGATTTTTCCTATACACTACAAGGGTGCGTCGAGGATGAAGCCATTACTAAATTAATTCACCGTGAATTATCGATGTGAAAACGTTAAGACCCTTGTCGACGAACTGCTGTTTTTATATATTTTTATTGCTTAGATGGGTGGATGAGCTCAGAGTCCACCTGATGTTAAGTGGTTACCGGAGCCCATAGACATATACAACGTAAATGCCGCCACCGACCTTGAGTTATGAGTTCTAAGGTCTCAGTTTTTACAGTACAACGGCTGCCCCGCCCTTCAAACCGAAACGCATTACTGCTTCGAGGCAGAAATAGACAGGGTAGTGGTACCTACCCGCGCGGACTCTCAAAACGTCCTACTACCAGTAATTAGGCAAATTATAATTTTGCGAGTTTGATTTTTATTACACGATGTTATTCCTTCACCGTATTAAGTTCGTATTTCATTACAAAAATTAGTAGCTGCCTGCGGGATTCGAACACCGGTTCATTCGCATCGCTCGATACGTATACACTGAACGTCTTATCCCTTAGGCCAGAGGTCGGCAAAGTGCGGCTCTTTGAACTCTTGAGTGTGGCCCTGACACAAATATCCTACGGCTAACCCGGCCTCTAATATTATCCGGCTGTGGACGAAAAGCCGGTTAATAGTATGTACAGTCATTTAATATCTGTACCCCTGACTGGTGTCGATTAATATATGTATAGTTATATCTTAAAAAAAGCAGTATACAATATGGCATTTATTTTATGATTTGCAATAATAAATGTTTACAAATTTAATTGCAAAATTATAATTTGCGTAATTACTGATGGTAGGACCTCTTGTGAGTCCGCGCGGATGGGTACCACCACCCTGCCTATTTCTGCCGTGAAGCAGTAATGCGTGTTTCGGTTTGAAGGGTGGGGCAGCCGTTGTAACTATACTTGAGACCTTAGAACTTATATCTCAAGGTGGGTCGCGCATTTACGTTGTAGATGTCTATGGGCTCCAGTAGCCACTTAACACCAGGTGGGCTGTGAGCTCGTCCACCCATCTAAGCAATAAAAAATAAAAAACTAAATTTACAAACAGATTCGGCTCTCAATTTTTTTTAAATCGTTTTAATTTGCATATTTGGCCCTTGGCTAATAAGTTTGCCGACCACTGCTTTAGGCCACGACTGCTAGTTGATAAGTTGATAGTACGGTATCTTATCATCCTTAAGAATGATTCGCTTGGGATTGGCAATTAGGGAAAATCTTAAGGTCGTGATCGAAGTCGAGCACGGTGACCGTCCGCGCGTACCTGGAATATCCCCTTAGGCTACCAGTGGAAAAAAGTATGGTGAGGAATTACGAACAATTTACTAATTTTTATTTTTTATTGCTTAGATGGGTGAACGAGCTCACAGCCCACCTGATGTTAAGTGGTTACTAGAGCCCATAGACATCCACATCGCAAATGCGCCACCCACCCTGAGATACAAGTTCTACGGTCTCAGTATAGTTACAACGGCTGCCCCACCCTTCAAACCGAAACGCATTACTGCTTCATTAAACGCATTAAATTTTGAAGGCTGTCTTCAGTGTCGTTTGAAAGGCCATCGACTCCCAATGAACAAAGAGAACGTTAAAGACAATATTCCGTCACAAATTGACTGTGACAGTTAATCAAGGTGATTGCGCAGTATTCAAATACAATTTTGTTTAATTTTTTTTTTTTTTACTAGCTGACCCGGCGGACTTTGCAGTGCCTCAATCGATAAATAAAAGACCTAAACTTTTGTATAAAATAAACTTAAAACAAAGAAAATGGATCCGTCTGACGGGGGACACATCAAAAGAAAAAGAAAATTGTTGTTTTTATTTAATTCCAAGCATTTTCATGCTTATCTACCAAAATTAGCCAAATTGGTCCAGCCGTTCTCGAGTTTTAGCGAGACTAACGAACAGCAATTCATTTTTATATATTATATAGATTGCTAGGATAGGTGGACGAGCTCACAGCCCACCTGGTGTTAATAGTTACCGGAACCCATAGACATCTACAACGTATTAAATACCGCAACTCACCTTGAGACATTAGTTCTAAGGACTCACTTTAACAGTACAATGACTGCCCCATCCTACAAATCGAAGCGCAGTTTTTTTTTTTCTCCTACCTATGCTGATAGCCTTGAGAGGCTATTTCAGCTTCGCCTTAACGTTTGTAGGTGAGCTCGCGGGGCTCAACCGGAGAGTTGCTAACACTGACCCTAGCAAGAGCAGTGCTTCGCAGAATCTACCACCGGATCGGAAACGCGACCCACTGAGAAGATGCGGCGGGAAGCGCAGTATTGCTTCACGACAGAAATAGGCAGGATGGTGGTACCTACCCGTGCGGACTCACAAGACGTCCTGCCACCAGTAAGCAGACTTAAGAAGAAGAAGCTAAGTTTATTTGCAGAAATAAAACAAACGCATGTATGTATGTAGCTAGCATTTCTGAAACTTCCTTGGCACAACAATGAAAATGTTTACCCGAAACCCGGAAGCGACTTAATGACACTAAGACACATTTGATAATAGTTTTCAATGTAACGAGGTTATGCTATTCAAGACCTTTGTCATTTTCGAGAATAAACAGACAGATAAGACACAATTGTATTGGAATTCATACTATTTATATATTAATACGTGAAGCAAAAACTTTGTATCCCTTTTTACGAAAATTGC